GCACACTGCTCCTCCTCCTCACCCTCCTTTAACACATCTTAGAGCATACACATCTCCCCTCATGCACCCCTGGACTAAATGAATCCTGTTACTTAACTCCTTCCTCACAGACTGTGATTTCTAAGCCTTCTGGACACTCTCCAGAGCATGCCCAGCAGAACACTCCCTCAGAGTTCACCAGCAAAGGCTCTGATTTGTATGTACCCTGACAACAGGTTGTCTTCAGTGAGCAAGTGTCAACATGAAAAACACCACCACAAAAAGCTTAAAAAACTTCACCAAACCCCAAACAACAACTTGAGAGAGAATGACAAAAACCCCACAAGCTCCGAAGCTGTTAACTTGACACAGCAACAGCAGCTCTTTCCCAGCAGCAAAAGGCAGCTCCAGAGAGAGCTGTGGCTCCCCACCCTTCCCCAGGGAGCTCAGTAAAGCTGCCAATGCTTTTCAACAGTGCAGCACATTCACTGTGCCCGTATCGTGTGTCCACACTCACACACAACACAAGCTTTGGGGGTACATCCTCCCCATCCCAGCTCTGGACCACATTATGCCTACATCTACTGCTCATGTCTCCCCTAAGAGCATACACAGGACAAGTGCGTGCACAAACAGGCCTAAACTGAATCGTTTTTTAAGGACCTGAGATCTTGCCACGCAGCTCCTCACTTCTGCTATCAGCACCCTATAACTACGTTATTGCACTGGCTCCCCACAGCACTCTCACGAAGAAAACCCTCCATTAAGTCAGCACACAAACACATTAAGATGAGCTAATGGACCAAAGAGAAGACATGCTCAACTTTAACATACTACTCAGGCTCGGGAATTCGAAGCTGTTTCAAAACTATGTTCAATGCTGGTGCTTGCACAGCAGAACAGTTTAGCACTTGGACCAGAAAGAGCTAAGAAAACATGCAGAGCTGCACTCAAACGTGTTGCTTTGGCTCTACACAATAAAACATTCCCCAGAATAGCTTCGGGATACTAACATTAACAACCGCCAAGCTATTTGCCCTTCAGTGCTTACAGGCCCTGCTGCCCCTGCACTGCTGAAGCTGGTGGGTCAGCAGTTGCTTCTGTCTTTAAAGCCTTACGTCTGGTTAAAAATAATCACCCATCAGAAGTGTCAGTCAGGACGCGGTGACGCTCCCGCTGTTGCCGGTTACGGTACAGTGGTTCCTGTGTGTAAACAGTGATCCTGAACGAGTGAAACCTCTTCCTTCCCGCAGCCTGCTTCCCCCAGAAAACCTGAGCTCTCAGAGGACTCTACAGGCTGCTTCATGCTTACAGGGATGCTTTCTTCCTAGCTTGAATTACAAAGCGCAATACCGGACGGTATTGTCCCAGGGCTGGGACACCAAGAACTACTCTCAAAGAACATACACTCTGTCAACAGCTCGCTCCCCCCCGCGTTCAAACCCGTATTGGAGCAAAGACAACTGCCCAGGAACCGAAGTTCTCCGCCCCGAGCTCTCCCCAGGCTCTTCCGCGGTTACTTCTGGATGCAGTTGGGCCGAGGCTCAGCCCAGCAGCACCGGCACCGCCACAGCCCCTCCTCCCCGCCAGGCCCTCCTCCGTCCGGCAGCTTCCAGCTTCTTCCCCGACCCCTCCAGCCGCCAGCGGTACCCGGGACCCCCTGACAGACCGGGGCACCCCCGCCTGACCGCGGCACCAGGCCCCGCCCGCAGCCCCGCCGCACCCCGCCTCACCTGCAGCCCATGAAGATGTGGTTGGTCCAGAGCACGGAGAGCGACAGCAGCTGGTCGATGGCTGCGCCGGGATAGCCGCTGAGGTGGCGGAGGATGAAGCGGCGGCGCAGCTCCCACTGCCGCTCGGTCTCGTTGTACTGCCGCCACTGCTCCAGCACCGCCTCGGGCACGCTCTCCAGCTCCGGCGGCGCCATAGCGGGCGAGGGGCCGTACCCGCCGGCGGGCACCGCAACAGCCCAAGCGCGCCAGAGCGGACCAGGCCCCACGTGCGGACCAGGCCGCGCCTTCTTACCGGCAACCGGGGAGCCCCAGCCCGGCCCGGACTCGGCCCCCCGGGCCCCCGCCCCTCCCGGCCGCCGCGGCCCCGCCCGTTCCGGTGCAGCGGGAGCCCCCCCACCTCAGTCGCGCCGAACGGGGCAGAGCGGCCCAGCCGGCGCCTCGTCAGGAGCTCGCGAGACGCCGCGAGAAACCGCCGCCGCTGCGGGACGGTGCCGCCGCTCTAGCGCGACCCCTGGCGACAGCCGCGGGCGCAGCCGGGCCGAGGCGGTGGCAGAGGCCTCCGGGGCTGCCCTGGCAGCGGACACCGGCCCGCAAGCTCCCGCCGGCCCGGCCAGCCCCAGCGGACACCGCAGCAGCTCCTCCCCGCCGGGTACCGGATCGGAGGAGCCTGAGACCTTTCCCCTGCCCCAACGAGGCCAAGGCTCCCCATGACCTTTGCTGACCCCAGCGTCAGGCTGCGTTTTGCTTCCCGGTGGCCGCACAGAGCTATAGGCTCAGCTCGCTGTGCCGGTGCGTCCAGCCGGGGCCAGCAGCACACACGGCAGCCCGCCGGCTGGCTGTCCCGGTGCTTTATTTAACTGTGGAGTTAGCAAGGTGCGAGGCGAAGCACTGCCGGTTCTGCAGTGCTGCTTGTGTGAACACGGCAGCTGGCGCAGCTCCTGCACGCTGCCACGTGTGGAACGGAGATGAACGCGGCAGGCACACATGTGGATGAGGCAGGACCCATCAAGGCCGGCCCCAGCACGCTCCGGGGTACGGATGGCTCAGCAGTGCTAACGCACCAGCGCCTTCCATCGTCTCTCCCTCATCTCCTCTCTTCTAACGTCAAACAAGAGGAGGTTTAGTCAGGAAAACAAAAACCGAGTACCACTGGACCCACGTCCCGTGGCCAAGAGAGCCTGTTTAAGGTGCTGAGACACAGGAGGACACCAACGACAACACAGAGTTTTTCTTACTTTATTTCTTTGTTAAAATTAAATATTTCGTGGCTGCCAACAGAGCAAATCGCACCGTGTTCAGGTTTCCCGCGACCCTAATGCACAGTTCCCAAAACCAAACAACAGCATATTGAAAATACTCCTCAGGCTTCGCCCCCCATGGAAGCCCGCAACATTTGTATTATTAAAGACAGAACTAGAAAAAAAATATGCCCATAACAACGTTTGAAAATGTATTTGCTACATCGTTAGTCCCAACCTCCCGTTTCTGCTGCTCTTCAAACTCCCAAGTAAACAACCAGCTCCCCCGTACTACCCTGTCTTGTCACACAAATTACAAGACACTTCAATTTTAGGTATCATGCAAGTCAGTAAAAGAGCTTCTTCCCGAGACACTAACACTGAAGATTTGTTCCCCCCCTCCCCAGACGTGACCCTTAAACTCTTCTAGAAGTGGCAGTCTTCTCCCTCAGACCCAGTGCAGCTGGCGAAAACAGATTAAAAAAAGCTACAGAGAGAGAAAAGGGGGAAAAAAAGAGAAAAAAAAGAGGATTAGCAAAAAGAGAAAGGCATTCAAAAAGCAGGAGAGAGAGATGCAACACGGGAACAGCTGACAGAGGAGATGGCACCTCCCTGTGGTACCTCTGGTACTTCAAGGAAATCACACAAGTAAAAACCTTTTTTCATTAAAGTCTCTAAGAAGACTTTATAAAACTTTAAACAACATTGTAGTAACAGAGATGGTCAGGAAGAACAGCCAGTGGCCTGCAGTAAGGTTTAAACCCCCACATTAAATGGTTCTTTTAGCAGATAATCTAGAAATCTTAGAATGGTTTGGGTTGGAAGGGACCTTAAAGATCACCCAGTTCCAAGCCCCTGCCACGGGCAGGGACACCTTCCACTAGAGCAGGTTCCTCAACTCACTGGCAGACTGATATGGATTGGTTTGGGGATCAGGCCAACAGTCAGCAATACAGGAAGAAGTAAATATTCAAATGATTTTAACTTGCTTAAAAAACCAAAACCAAACCCCAAACCATCAAAGACTTACGGGAAATAAAACTGTATTCATGGTGAAACTGAATACCTTAGAAAATACACTGCAAGCAGGAGTTTTAACTGCCTGACTGCTGCCAATGACAGACCATTGCTGGTTCTGGGTTCCTGCACATGGTATGCTGCTGCTGTGCACAGCCAGCTGGACTCATGTGCTGCACAGACACTGTTCACGAGGCTTCTGCAGCCCCCAGACCACCCTCCTAGTGAAATGCTCAGCACTAAACCCAGCATTACCTAGCCTAGCTGGGTCAGAAGTGTGCTTATCGTCTGAAAACCCTGGGTTTAAGGGATTTTGTTGAAGCTATTTGGCAACACGCAGCCTGATCTTTCAGCAGGGTTGGGACATGTGGGTTCACCCACTTACAGTGAACTCAGCCTGCACACAGTGCACAAGGAGCAAGTCTGAAGTGGAAATGAGGATTACATGCTGGTAATTCAGGCAGCATGAATTAGCAAAAGAAAAAATAAAAGCAAATTAAACCAGATAGATGATGTCATGAGAATGACACCAAGTATAAGGAGAAAAGAGTTTTTTAATCCCTCAACTATGGGATAATTAAGGTGGTGTTATTTAATGTCACCAATAAATAAATTTAATCTGCGCTGTTATTTTGCCAGCAAAAATAACTCACAGAACTTATTTTGACATCCCTTATCTATCTGGGAGGAGAGAGACCAGGAGAAAGGGGAATCCATTAATTGTAAGGGAAAGAAAATAGTAGGATTTAAAGCTGCAGCATCCTAAGCCTCTTTAGGACTAATTTTACATTGTTTAATAAAAGCAATAACCACCGGTACATAGCAAAGCCAAAATCACAATGAGGATATAGGAGAGAGCAAGGGTAACACCATGGAAAGGTCACAGCTGAAATGCTGTCACGTTTTATTAGACCCTCCGATTTAACAAGTTAATGAAGGTCCATTCCAGCCCATTGTATTCAGGGGTAATTACTCAGTACAGAGCCATGGGTTACTGTAAAAGAAGGGCAAAGAAAACAAAAAACAAAAGAAGTAAATGTTAACCAGAATTCACTGTCTGAAGTCTTTATTCAAAAACAAAACTCATCCAGAAATACACAGTGAAGACACCTGCAGGCAAACCACAGTTGCACTTGGCCAGAGTGGACTCTTGGCCCCAGTGAGCAAAACACCCTACTTGTTAGTGCAAATCTTGCAGTAAAACAAGGCTTTGCTGAATAGAAAATAAGAGAAGCAACCTGCCAGCACCTGTACACTTCTAAACAGATGCCAAATAATAAAAAAAAGGTAGTAATTTTTGAATTAAAAACAGAAATGGTTGGAAACACTGAGAAGAAAGTCAAACGTCATCGTCTTTCTTCACCAACACTGGTATGTACAGCAAGGTGACCAGCTTTCCCTGAGATTGGATCCAGGATGTGCATCCAGGCCAGCACACTGAGAGGGAGACAAGGCAAGAGATCCTTCGTGACCCCTGCAGCATTCAGAGAACACTTAGTTGCAGACCGTGGATCCAAGTTTGAGATTCCCCCAAGGCTGGGGACTAGAGGTTGGGACTCAGGCCCACGCTTGTGAGGATGTCAAAAAGTCCTTTAAAACTGAGTCACACAAGGCAGCGCAGGGGGTAATGAGGCGTTAATGAGGCAAATTAATAAGGGGAGAGGGCAGGCAGTCTCTGGAGACAGCATGTCCCAGCCCATGGCAGCATCAGTCCCTGGAAGTGCTGAACGCTCAGCACCAAGCAGCTGCCATGCAGCCCTTGCACATGGAGGAGGAGAGGCAAAGAGCTGAGCAATGAAAAGAGGGGACACCAGCTCTGTGAGCCTGCTGCTGCCCAAAGGGAGGAGGTGTCAGCAATGAGCATCTCTTGCCAGTTCCATGTAGGCTGTTGCTGAGTTCTTCACAAGAACAACCATAACCCACAACAGCCAAGGGTGTGGACTTTTGCTTAAAACAAAATGGTGAGCGCAGGAAGGGAGCAATGAGTAAAAGTGAGCAAACAGGCACAATGGCATAGCTGCGTGTTAACCAAATGTGGGGGCATTCGCTTCTGGTGTGAAGGGAAAGGTTCTACAGGAAACCCGAACTGAAAATGAAAGAAAAAGGCAGATTAATGGTTTTATGGATTAATGACAAAAAAAAAAAAAAAACCAAACAACAAACCAACAAACAAAAACCACAAACAAAACAAGAATATAAATGTTTCCTAACACACAAACACACAAAAAGAAATGTTGCTAAGTGTTAGTAAGGTTTAATTTGATTACAAAACATGCTTTATGCAGACACACACATGCACACACACTCAACAATGGGATGAACCAAATTTATCTTCTAAAACAATCCTTTCACAGTTTTGCAAGCTACAGGACTCAACTGTGCCCCATCTGTATCCTTGCAAAACAGTGGAGCCCTGCAATACTTTATGGATCAATATGGGGAGTATTTTTATGAATGCTGGAAAAGTACCATATATACATATTTAATTTAGCAATGACAAATGCCCACTGAAAAAGACACTGTCTGCATTTGTATACTAGGAACAAAGAACTTCATTTGATTTAAAGCCCAGCACACAATAGCGTACAGTTCTGAGGACTGTCAAAAGCAATCCAAAACCAACAAAAATCAGTGATGTTCACTCTAATTGCACTTTAGCTGTGCCTTCATACCCAGCACCAGAATGAACACTCTCATTATTTGAGCTTATTTTTCCACATTCAGAGCCTGATAAGCAGAGAATTGTTCTTTTCATTGTTTTACAGTTACCGTTGGCAGCAGAGACATTCATTCAACCAGACTGCTCAAGCCAACTGTAAGCTCCAGTTTGAGCCCGTGCAAGACCCTTCTGAAGCTCTTCTGTTGAGTGGAACATCCCATTGAAATTAAATTCAAATGCCTCTCACTGACAGCAGAAGGTTTACTTGCTTTTCCATTTCCCTTGGTAGGGCAAAGAGGGAAGGAACCATGGAATCGGCTTTTCCCTATTAAAGGGCAGACCATAAGTTAGTTTGGACCATGTCCTGGAGAGAATGTAAATCCTGGTTTTGTCTGCAGGGAAGGGTGGACTCGAGGCTGAGTTTTCAGGGCATTCTATAGTTAAGTGCTGCTGTTCCAACATGTTCCTTCTCTGAGAGACCTGTGCACCTCAGCTTGGGGTGCTGTTACCCTTGCCTTGGTTAATAGAAGCAAGACATCCCTGTGAAAGCTTTCTTTTTCCTCTCACCAGAGAATCAACAGCAAATTAAAAATGCTCAATTAAACACACCCAACCCAGCTGTAAGTACACCACTGTCATTAGCAGTTGAACTAATAACCCTAATGAGGATGCTGTTCTCCTGCCAGGCAGGTGCATTTCTTACACATCTTAGTTTAAATGAACCTTCATTTTACAATAGATGCTGGCACTTTGTACTGCAGACACCTGCTTGTGGCCAGACTTTTTAACCCTTTCAGGTGGCCTATATCCTTCACAAGCCTCCTCACGTATCAAATACAGCCCTCATCTACTACTAGCCTCACCCTAGCCATGGGCACTCTTGGCATAGATCTGTGTCTGTCCAATAAAATTGAACATCCAGTCCATGAGTTACCAATCTGACTGTTAAAAAAGTCTCTCAGTTTCTCTTCAGAGCTTTCATTATCCGCTAAATGCTCAGCCCATCATCTCTCATGGTTTTGGACAATCAACTATAATTAGTCAGCAAGTGAATATTGGTTTGGTTACTCGGCAGTAGCTTCTTTAATGCCCCCTCATACATACATACACACACACATACACACACACACAGTTTGGTGATTCTCTGGTGCTAGGGGACAAAGAAAAGCTCTAGGTATGTCAGATTTTACCATTTGTCAGCATGTGGAGGGGAGGATAGAAACTAGTCTTTCACTGTAACCACAAGTTAATACTCTAGCTTGAAGGGGTGGGAGGGAAGGAAAAGGGAGTAACATTTTCATGGCTAGCTGGGTTCTGTCATCAGCACCACGTCTCCATAGCAATTGTTGCCATAGTATCAACATGGCCTATGGGATTAAAAAATATCATTTATTTGTAAGGGAGATGGAATATAGAAAACAGAGCCAACAAAGTGCTGGGAAGGTTTAAAAGGAAGAGGATCTAATCCTTTTTCTGTGTTTCATGCCCTAATACTTCGTCTCTCTGCATTTTACTTTGCAGAATCTTTAAAAACAAACATCACTGCAACCTTTTTCCACAACTGCATTATGTAGAGAGAGACTGGTAGAGCACTTATAGTAAGGGTGAAAGCAGAGGAAGGCACAGATAACACTTATAGGCTTCTGGCCTTGCACAGGGTCTGCTTTTTTAGGAACTGCAACTGATCCCATTGTGAGGTCTATATTAGTTAATGACGCTTACCAGAACAATGTGCCTCATGCACCATGCAGCCAAACAGCAGCTAACTGTAAAACAGCATATGTGTAAGAGCTAATCATGATGATAACTATGTAACAAACAAACAAAAGAAACTAAGTCATGATTAGTGCAAATTATAGAGCTTGGGTTTAGAAGAGTCACCTGTGAAAGAAAAAGGCCAGTGTACTGCCAACTACTAGTAAACAAGATAAAATTAAGTTACAGCTTGTGAAATTTATGGATTGTTAGAGATATTTATGATCTAAATACTGAAATGAATTATTAAGGACAAATGAAGAAGCTACAGAGTACAGAGAGCAGCACTATTTCTGACAGCTATTTTCCCGAAGGAGAGAGAAGCCCCCTAATACCAAGCCTTACTCAAGCACTGACCTATCTCTTTCATGGTGTTTTCTGTGCTTTTCAGAATCCTAAACTGACACAGATGGTACCATGTGAATGTGCTTGATGTTAAGGAGCTCTTCCAGAATCAGAACTGCTTCTGGGAACAAGAGTGTGACTTGGCCAGTGACTGATCGCTTACACTACATCTCCCTTTTCTGCATTCCTTACCCTGACTGACTTCAGTTGTATATTCCTTACACAGTCCAAGCTCCCAGTATGAAAAGATAGTAAAAATCCCTGAAGGTAATTCAAAAGAGCAAATCAAAATCCACAGTGGAAAAAGGAACGGACAAGTGAGAAAAGAGCAGCACTAATTGCTCATCACAAAAGAATGTTGACACTGAAGCAGCTCCAGCTCAAAACTGGAAAGGCTAAACCAGGATCTCATTCTGGTTATTGGGTTTTTCCTCTCCTGATTCCAGGCTTAACGGCCAAGAGCTATTTTCCCTGACAAACTTTTTGGGCACGTGCCATATTGTTCATATTAACAGCACTTCTCCATGTACTTAAGACCATGTCATGCAGGCAAAATGTACTCTGGATTTGCCTCAGGGATGTGCAGAGAGGGGATTATGGCAGGGGTACAGAAACCAAACCCTTACTTTATCTGTTCACTGCTCTTTGCACACATGCTAAGGTGGCACAGCACTCCATTTTGGGAAGCATACCGCAGTGAGAAGAAAAGGAACTGCTCATTGCTGTGTGAACTGGGAGAACTGTTTCACCTGTACTCTTGAGCAACTGAGGAGCATTAGGAGCCTGGCATGGGCACTGCAGACAGCACAGATCACAGGATCCTGATAAGGGGCTGGATACTGTCACCCCACTCCCTGGCATGGGGAACTCCTGCTAAAGCCATGCAATATCTCTCATTGTTTCTGTGGAGGGCAAAAAGCTGGTTTAGGGCTGGAGAAGGGTACAAGCACTAACAAGGAGCTGCAGATTCCAGAATTCAAGACTATTAGTTGCCCTCATAATTTCCACAGTATAACCTTTCTCCCATCCTAAACAAGTAAGACCCTGAGACAGGAAACACTCCTCTCTGAGGATAGTGGGAAATCCCTACTATCCACACCCTATCCTTGGCAGACAAGATTGTTCCACTTCATTACAAGCACTGTCAGACCAAGGGAGGAGCCTTGGAATCTTGGGGAATAAAAACAAGTTCATCCTCTCCCATGCTGTCAGCAAGCAAGGGGGGAGGTCAGCTCTGCTCCCTACTCTTCAGGATGATAACTAAAAGTAAAATACTTCCAGCTACTGCTCAGCCTCACCAGGGACTAAATCTGTCTGCAAACCTTCCCTTGGTAAGGACTCGCTAGGTTGGGAAACAGAGACACCCAGAAAAATAGTAAAGGAGAACCATTCCCAAAAACAAATACCCCAGGTTACCAACTTACTTTTTCCTTTCCTTATCTCTTTTAAGAGTTTGAGATCCTCCAGCCTGCTGAGCCTGAGACTGAAGCAATTCAGCTGCTGTCTTCCTTTGTTTAAATGCATTTACTTCATCATCCAGAGACTTTTTCTTATCCTCTAGCTTCTTTTTTTCATCCTGATGTAACTTTTTCAGGCGATCAAACTTTTCATGCAGCTGGAGAAAAAGGAGAGAGCTGAGCATGACCCAGCACTACCAGATATTCTCTTCACAGGAAAAGAGAAAGATGGAAGGATTCCGTGAGACCTGAACCTGCAAGGCTCCACTGGTCTCTACATCATTTCTAGCCCCCTAAGCTGACACTGCTTAGAAAAAGGGCAGGGAAAAATCTCCTTCCACAACAGCTTACAGACCAGGCAGTGTTCTAGTGATGCACCACTGCACAGACTAATAGAGGACTGGGAGAATGTAATGGAAAAAAAATATTTAATCCATTTCCAGGGGCCTTATTCCACTTTAAAGGTCAGTAAATTAATGGATTTTTCCCAATGCTCAGTGTAATTTTTTATATAAGAAGTTTATATCTGGAGCTGTTTCTCTCCTTGAATTCTGCCACACTGCCACTCTCCATCAGAATCAAGACTGCACTTTCATGGCGCAGTGAGTTGTACACTACAAGCAGTGTGATCTAGTTTTGTCCTACAGTATGAACACATTAATGTCCCCATGATCCCAAGTTGAACTTTAGACTTCTTGGTAATAAAGTCCTAAACCACACTCTGCAGAAAGTACTTTGGCAGCAGCTAACTGCCTGGGAGTAGATCTATCACTCACAACCATGAAGAGACAAGTAGTGCAGTCTTCACCTCTTTTTCAGCCTCCTTCAGCTCTGCTTCTTTTTCCTTGACCCTCTGGACAAACATTTGCCTCATTGCCTCTTCCTTTTTCTGCAGTTCTCCCAGAAACTCGTTTCTTTTGGCTTCATAAGTTTCTTGTAAGCTAAAAAGAAAGGGAAGTCCAATGACATGACTTGGGACAAACACGGCTTCCCCTGAGCCTCTGAAATCAGACCCTTACCATGAATACTGCTTGTCCACAGCACATCTGGTACTCACCCACCCACGTGTGCCTGAGGCCACCTTTATCCAACCTTTTCTGAGGTCTGTAAGCTACTGCCCTTTTCTGTATGTTGAATGCTGGGCAATTCGAAGAGACCAACTGGCAACACACACTAGTTCAGAAGGACACTGCTGTATCCCTACAGCACAGACATTTCTACTCCTATACCTGCAGTTTCCGAGTCAATCCTAAACAAGCTATCTGGGTTTTCACCTCTCATTCAGCCAGCACCTTTGCTGAAGTCTGGATTTATCTGACCTGGCAGGTATTCTTGCTGCACTGGTTCTTCACATGCTCTCTCAAGGACACACACACACACATGCAGTGCATCCAACAATGCTTCTCTCAAGCTCTCCAGTCTCCTCAAGGATCCTACCTGAAGGGTTTGCTGTCTGGATCAGTGTCCTTGAAACCCATCTCTTCCAGCTTGCATCGTCGGTACAGCTCATAGTGGCGTGTGTGGGTCTGTTCACGAAGGTCTTCCATATTTACACGGATCAGCATCTCCCGCAGCTTCACAAAATCACAGTGAGCTTCATTCTCCACTGTAAGAAGACATAAGGATAAGATGGGGGCAGAAACAAAGGTCTTTTCCCACATTCCCCACCTGTCTACTCCTCCAATTGGTTAACAGCCCTTCTGAGCAGAGAAAACTGTCGCTATAGGCCTGACACAAGGATTTAACAAAGGGTAATTCCTAGAGAAACATTAGAAGTCCAGCAGACCCTTGTTTCTCTTATGAGAGCTCACTGCCTCCTGGCAGAAGTGTCACCATTCATGCCTTGAAAATCCCAGGGCTCAACTCACCTTGCACAGTGCCCCAGGGGTACTGACGAGCTTTCATCATTTTGTTTCCTATTTTCAGCTCCTCCGTGCTCCCGATCACTGCAAATGGCAAGTGGGCCTGGAACACATTCAGTGATAGCCACGTCAGTCCCTCTCAACTCTGGCTGCCTTGCCAGCACACAGAGGTTAGCACAGCCACTGAGCAAGACAGTCATTATGCACACGCTAATCTCAGGGACTCTAGTCACTGACCACTAGCCCAAGACAAGGAGGGAGAAGGGAGGGTCTTTTTGGAAACCTTGTTAGTGCTACCACTCTATATCCTCTACCTGGCTGATCCTCCCAGCCACGGGGTCTCAGGTGAGATGAGCCAGTGCAAGACTAGCACCAGAACAACAGCTCAAACAACATGCTGCGCGGCTCTGACTGCGGTGCTGTTCCAAGGGCTTGCCGTAGCTGAGAACATCTGCACAAGCACAGAAGCAATAAAAGAGGTCTTGGAGCCTTCTTGATTTTATCCTCTCACCTCTCCCTCAGCTCACACTGGAGCACAAGACACATCCCTCTATTGGATCATGAGATCTGTCCTTCATCCCCGGAGTAACAGCTCTTTCCTCCCACTTGCTTCAGCTGTGGCAATGAAGGACTGAACACAACCCTGCACGGGGCCAGCCTCCACGTCCATGTATTCCCAAAGGTCTGCTGCAGGCTGAGCTGGGAAGGACTCTGCGTTCCTGGGGCTGTGCTAAGCCTGCCCCATACTAACACTCCATAACCTCATGCTTCCTGCAGCTGAGTTGGGATCAACCTTAGCACCCCCCCTCAAATCCTACAGCACTCAAAACTGGTTCTGAGAAACCCAAAGAAATGACAATGGATTTACAAATCCTCCTGATGTTGATGCTGTGTGCAGCCACTGCTAGACGGCTGCAAAGCCAGGGGACAAAGGAGGCCAAATTCAGGGATCACACACCTAAGACACTCACCCAGTGCAAGCTCAGCAGTCAGAACAGAAACACTCCTAACACCTCTCTAGGCTCAGAAGACCACACCTCACACTCATTCCCCAATCTCAGGCTGCCAAGCAAACCCCCAGACACCGCCATCATACTTTGCTGCATATATGTTGTGCAGTAAGTGAGATCTCTCCCCACCTCCGCTTGCTCCTGGGAAGTATACTGCATCCTGCCAAACTGCAAAAAAGTCAAGTGCAAGGCTTCAGCACTTAAAAATAAAGTTGCCAACTCCCTGCACCCACCTCTTCTGCTGAGTTTTGTGCAGTGACATTTGTTGGCTACCATCTTTTAAAGCAAGCTGATCTCTGGGCAATTAAAAGGGCCCCAGGATATGGATATCCCCAACTATATGAAAGATCAGTGACCCTGGACTGCTCTCAATAGCAGGTAATGAAGTTTTAATTCCACAGGTTATCTGAAAACTGGGTCAAGTTTATAACAGCTGGTACAAGCAAGAGATTTCAGAGATGATGTTCCCTGTTTCTGGAGTGTGGCTCATACAGTCAAACCTTGAGTACTGCAAAACTGCCTGCAAGCACTCCCAAAGATGGGTTCTTCAGCTTTCATTCCTCGGCCTCCCAGCTCTCGAATAGGACATGTAGAGTAAGTGGGGCTGCTGGTCAGTCTGATGGGGCCATGCGAAGGCTCTGTGCAATGCAGCCTTCTGGGTCACTTCCCATGCTGAGCTACCTCTGCGATCAAGCTGACACACCAGCACCCAGAGGGACACAGAGCTGAGCCTGCTTTGCGGGAGAGGGCAAGCAGCAGGAAAAGGAAAGTGGTCTTCCAAGTTGAAGGAAGCTGATTTTCAGCAAAAGGCTGTCTCATTGCAAAGGGCAGGGGGATACAAAACACTGGAGGGGAAGGAAACAAAGCTGTCTGAACTGAACAGCCTCCACATCACAACATGGGGGAAACTCCCCTAGCCAGCTCTGGAAGGGGTAATTTGTCACCTTATTTCTACAGCTGTAGTTCCTCCTGCCTTCAAGACAGACCATACACTAGCAGCAGCACCATCCACAAACACTTCTGCACATGTGGTCAAGAAGGATTATCAGTGGTCCCTGTGGCAAGGAACAGCCACAGGCAAGAGAAGAGCCCTGGAAGCAGGGCTTTTCAGGAAACAACAGCCTAGGAAAACAAAGACTGTCCTTGCCCTGCACAGCCTCACTATCTGTCTGATTTCCTACGTGTATCCCTCAATAGATACACACTAAGACAAGGAAGGGGTTAAAAGACTGGTGGGGGGGGAGGGTCTGACTAGAAAAGCCCACCAGAGAAGCAATAGCCTACCAGAAGGCTCTGATAGCCTAGGCTGACACTGCAAGGATTGGATGCCGGTGCAATCCTCTGCTTTTAAGACACAAAAGAAGAAGGAAAGTGGATTTCAGAAGCATTCCAATATGGGCCACCAACCCCTACAGCAACAGTGCTGTTCTGGGAGAAGAGGAAGCACTACATCACTTACATTCATTGTTCCATTTATCTCCGCCACTGATTCATCATCTGTTGGGAACTGGTAGATTTGAACCCCATTACTAACCAGTTCACTTGTGATTTTAATTTTAAATTTGGTCAGCTCACTCTTGGAAATGGCATCAGATTTGGCAATGATGGGAATGATGTTCACCTAGGAAAGAACAGAGCGGTAAGAAGCCCTCAGCTTTGCTCCAGGATGCTTTTCCAAGTCTGCAATACAACTTACAAAGTGCTCCATAAACACATAGGCTTTATCTGCCAAACCAGTCATGTCCACTGGTCTAAGGGCTATTCGAGGAGGGGAGATGTGCTCTGGAAAAGCAGCACATGGTGAACCTGCTCAGTAAGAATTAAACAAGCCTACCTTGCTGTCAAGCTTCTTCATTGTTACCAAGTCCAGGGATTTCAGCGAGTGGCCTGTTGGAGCAATGAAGTACAAGCAAGCATGTATCCGGGTGTCATGGTAGTTGTGCAAGACCCTTCTTATCTTCAGTTCTTCTTGCAAGTAGGCTTCAAACTGAGCATCAATGAATTCAACAATGGGCTTATAGCTTTGATGAAAGGAAAAAAGAGAAGACTTACACATCTCATAGTCAAAGAGGTAAAGAGACAGGGCTCCACTGCTTGCTTCCAAGAAACAAGCTACTTGTTAGTTTCACTTCCCAAGACCAACCATCTCAATCTCCCTTCCTCCCCACCAGTAAGGAATTTTAAAGCTGAACTACTGACAAGGAGATGTGGTCCTACAGCAGATGCCAGGAGCCGATTTGGCAAAACACAGTACTAGAAATTCAGCAGAGGACAGGAGACACACCATGGACTCTCACACTTTGAAATGTAAGGGTGCAAGGCCATCAGAAATACAGAGCCTGTCAGATCCACAATGTAAAGGACATCAGTGCATCTTAGAACTAAAGATAAAACGTAACAGACCCACAACAAAGCAAATCCCATCTGCACACCCTTTAACCCCCACGCTCTAGCCAGGCTTGGTTGTGAGCTGCCAGAGATACTTCCCCAAGGTATCTCAGTGCACATCTATCGTGCTTCCTCTGGCAACACGTAAGAGCCCTCCCAGAAGTGGCTGTTAAGCCAAGTGGTTTGCTTGGCAGCTTGTGGTCAGCACAGCACAAGGAAACAAGCACAGATGCCCTGGAACTCTCCACTCTTCCCACCAGATGAATTTGGGCAGAAGGCTGTCAGCAGGGCAGATATTGATCTGACAGCATGAGAAAAGATGCTTTAATAGTTGAAATACTGCTGACACACCACAGCCTCTACCTGCTCTTCTACCTGTGCCATCCCAAAGAGATGTCAAGGACAATCCATGAGAAGGAAGGAGAAAAACTTTACTGTGCAGTCTGACCCAAATAGGGCATGGGGAGAGACCCTTAATGAGAAAATCAGGTCACGATACAGCCTCTCTCTCCTTTCACTCACCTGTCCTCTTTATTGATCTGATCACCAAAGCCCACTGTGCTCACAATAGTCAGCTTGAGGTTGACATTGCTCTCTTGCAGGTCGTATGTACTGGATTTCAGCTGGACCCCAGGCTGTGAGTGAGATGCTGGGTCACCTTCAAACTTGGTGTTGAAAAGTGTGTCCATGAGGGTGGACTTGCCAAGGCCAGTTTCCCCTATTTGAGAAAAAGAGCGTTGAAACATTCTGTTGAATATTAACATGCCCCAGCCTTTCAGCTTCCAAACATTAACAGGGGTAAAACTGTAGCAGTTGAAAGCAGATCTCATGCTCCAAAAGGATCGTCTGGCAAACAGAAAGCTGTGTACAATGGGAGGTCTGTGTTCCAGGCAAATTACATTTCACAGTCTAATGGCCATTAATATCGCTAGAAAATAGAGATGAAAAAGGAGAGGTGAAAAGGCAAAGGGGAAAGCATCGTTCAGATCCTGCATAAACCCACAATCACACTACAGAAGATGCTGTTTTCATTAAAAAGTAGGGCTTATTGCCATTTCCAAATAAAGATGCTCCAGATCAATGTCTTTAACAAACAGCCACTGAAACAGCCTCCTCCTGTGTGGAAGCAATGAGAACTGGTTCTAGTCCTCCAGCAAGTTGTGCAGTTTTTCCTGTACTCACAGCAGACTGAGTGGAGGATCAGCCTTCTAGACTGGGAGGGGACATTTTCTGTTCTATCTGGCTTCCATACTTTAGGAGCTACATGCTATACAACACTCCAGAATCTGCTTCCAAAAGCTCTGCAGCACTGAGCTGTTACTTGGATTCCATCTACCAACAGGGAACTATTTTCTTGTCTGTAAGGAAGAGACAAATCCCAGTCTTAAATTTGTTTTAGATACATCCCAGGAAGAACAAAACACAACCCTCCGTGCACTCATTCCACAGGGCAGCCTCCCTTACCACGCTCTGACATCGGGGCCAGCTTTCTACACTCCAAGGATCTGACTTCGTGAGCAGTCTGGCCTGCTGCCCTGGGAGGGGTGCTGTGTTTGGGGAAAACAGGGATTTCTGAGCAGCCCAGATGGCTTTTGCTGGAACTTCAGGATAAGCAAGTGAAGGCTGCTGCTCCAGCCCGCTACAGGACCACAGGGAGCCTGTGTCTGGCTGAAGCAGCCTTCCCCTCCCTCCCCAAGCCCTCAGCTCCCAACCAAGACAACTTCATCATTTTCCTACTTTGCTCAGAAGAAAAGAGCTTCTTATTTTTGTAGGTTTAGAGCTCTGCAACAGATCCAAACTTGCATGAAATGCCCAATTCAACAAGGGGAAACTCCTCCCCATCCTCCCCTGTCCAAATCTCAAAGCCTCACCACTGCAAGCAGGCAAATTCCTCTCTCTTGGCCCCAGAAGAGACTTTTCTCAGTCAAGGCTGAAGTACAGGACAGACAGGGCAGGGAAAACATCCTCTGCTCTGGGAACTGAGCAGTCTCTGATTGCCATGATCATATATCAGATATCTTTCTAGAGGCAGCAAGATCCACTAACATTTGAAAGTCAATGTACACCTAGAGCTATGCTCCACCACCAAATAATTCCAGTTACAGCCAGAATAGGCACAAGTCCAGTTGCTCTTTGCACCAATCTTGTTTGCAAAAAAGAAGACAGAGTCAGCACCAGGAGCTGGAATTGCTGCAATCCCTTGTGCTATGTCAATGCATCAGCCAATTTTACACCACCACAAACAGAGAGCACCAGCACAAGGGACCCAGCAAAGCACAAGGTTATCTCTGTCACTGGAAGAATGAGCTGGACCACTCAGAAGACTTGCGGCTGATCACGTCAAACCCTTCACTGACTTGGAATCTCATGCTCTGGGCTTTTCGGGTACCAAGTGCCCCAAACAGTGAGCAGGTCACAAAGCACTGCCCCAGTCTGAACTGAGATGTTGAGGGTTAACAGCAGGCAGCCTGCATGACCTGCCAGGCCCTTCTCAGGGATGCCAGGAAAAAGCAGTGTAAAAAAAAAGGCCAAAATCTAAACAGGCTGAGAGGGCTGCAGCATTTCCAGAACCCCTGCCAAGGGATGGGTGGGACAGTGCAGGGAGCTGGCTGCTTGCCTGGGAATGCCAGGAACCCCGATGGGGCATCTCAGGACAGGGGAGCTTCAGTCCTGAGGTGCAGGAGCTACACCCTCCCACTGGCCTAAAAAACCTCTTGTGCTGCTGCCTCAAGTTCTCCACCTCACAGCCTGATGGCCCCTGCAGCAGACACAGATCCAGCAGCCTGCACCCAGGGCTGCAGGACAGGGGATCCCCACTGGTGATCAGGGCAGGGAGCTGCTCTCAGCTGAGGATACACACAGTTGTGTTTAAGTCACACTGGCTTCCAGGCAGACAAAACACCCTGTAAAACACCTCTTGTTTCTGCCTCTTTTTCGGTGAAAGGGGTTCATACGAGGCCAAGACTATTGTTTAAATGCATCCTGATCTGGCTAATCGTTGCCTATGTTAAATCAATCTAATGTGTTGTTTCTAGCACAAGTGACTTTAACTGTCTGGGGTGGGAGGGGGCAGGAGAAGTGCAAAAGAGATACAGGCATATTTTTAAGACAGAACTTGCTTTTATACTCCATCTCATGCCAGCTACACAGGGCCAGCAACAGCAACTCAGAATTCACACACTGGGGGTTTTCCTTGTGGATGAGGAAGGTATTTTGCCATAGGTGGGAGCTGCCTACCCAAACCCCTATAACTTCATGCTTGAAACACAAAACACCCCACCACTAACATGGCATCTCAAACGTGGAGCCTGCACACCAGAAATGACATTGAGTCAGCAGATACACCCATCCCCACACTGACACATCATGGGATCATTAAAGCCTGCCAGGGAAGAGGAAGACTGGAGGAGAGAGGAGTAACTGCCTCAGCTACAAGACAGAGGATGTTAACACTGACAGAGCAACACGAGATGGTAACAGACTGAAGATGTCAACAAAGTGCTTCACTGTGTTAAGTATGACCAGAGCTAGGGAGCAGTGCTATCTGAAGGGCAGAATGACAGAAGGAAGGGTTTCTGAATGTCCTTGGAGTTTCTGCCTCACACAGAGGCAACTTTCTGCTGGCTGGAAGATGTAAATGGTGCCAACTGCTTCTTGCACGGCCAGAAGTCCAGATGGAACAGATGGTCTGATGAAAAGGACAAGTAGTCTGTGCGTGTTCCAGCTGACAGCGCCGGAATCTTCTCCAAAAAGCAGAAACGATGAATGGGGATTAAGGGAGGCAGAATCACCATGGAAAAGGCAGCAGTGTATACAAACCAAGTGAGAGGCATCCCTGGCAGGGAGATTATTTCCTGGTGTCAGGCTTCTAGCACACATGTGATTAGATCTCAAAACTGTACTTGGGGATTATGCAACTCAGCTGTGGTCTGCTCTCCTGCAGCAGGGCTGACAAAGTGCTGTGGCGATGACAGGGCAGGGAGAGTGACCTTTAGTGAGAGGTCTGCACCAGGACACTCTGACAGCTACTGAAAAGCTGTCAGAGCCTTTCATTGTGAGATGGATTTTTGCTGCTAAGGCTCATGATTTTCAGAGGCATGATAAAAAAGTGGCAAGAGACACCACACCAGTGAGGCTGTGGACACACACTAACCCCACACCAGTGCCCAGGAGACACCATCCACTGTTAACACCCAAGAACCTGCCAGGCTAGAAACACTGTGCTGAGCTCCCCACGCCTCCTCTGAGCCTCCTGAGACATGCTCCCTGCTCCAGTGCACATGCACACGGTGTCTGCGGTGCTCTACAGAAGCAGTTCATCAAATCCCTCATTGACTGAGCAGTGACATCACTTGCAAAAACACAGCTGGGACAAGGGCCACTCTCTCCCATTCAGCTACTGAAGGTGAGGAGCTCCCATACCCGTCTCTGACACTGGTCAGTAGCTAAGGTGGAGGAACAGAAGCAGCTGTGCAAACAGCAAATGCTTCTTCCCCTGGGAAGTTCCCAGCTTCCCAAACCAAAACCTTTGAGCTGATGGCACTTTCATGGCTTCTTGCTTCCACAGAGATTTCAGTACCCTAAGCACCCTGCAGCAGTAAGCTGAATTATAACCACAAAAGTTGTGCTGCCTTTTTTGTGCCTTCTGATTTAATTTGCTTTCCCCCAGGACATGTTAAGTGCAAAACCAAACAACTGCTCGCTGTCCCCCTACTCTACATCACTGAGGATTTAAGAGGCCCCAGTCATATCATCCTCAGTCAATTCTGTATGAGGACAGAGGAGCCCTTGGAGTACTTCCCTGTTCAAAGGCATGAGACAGCTTTCACGAGAGTGCCCTTTCACATGAGAGCAACACCCGTCCTCCATGAGATTAACGACTGTAGCTCCAGATATCAAATAATCCAATCTTAAAGGAAATGTATATGCATGCACAGCCCTTTCATGTGAAGAAATGGGAGCTAATCCAGTGTAGCAGGTTGACTGAGATAAGCCCTGAGGCACCTCAGCCTGATAAGGCCATCTCTCACTGAGAGGAAAAAACAATTATTTTCATCTGACAGGCATGCAAAGACACTCTGTGATTCACCCATCAGAAGGCAAAGGCTGTGCTGCAGCGACAAGAGAAGCAACATGGGCTCACAAAAGGTGTTGAACTCCCTCAGAGGACTACCAGGCTCCCAGACACCATTCTGCACCACAGGGGACCAGCAGCGAGAGCTAAGGAGTCCAATGGCTTTTTGGTTGGAGAAACCCTGTTCTTTTCTCAGCTGGCTGCATCAGTGACCACAACACCAACCACTGGGCGACTTCCAGGCTGAACAGCTCACCACCCCATGGAAAGCTGCCTGCTGGAGAGCAGATGGCAGCTCTGTGTGAGGGAACCTGTGCTCATCCCTCCCTTCCCCAGCCAGTGAGAGTTCTCACACACCAAGGGGAGAAGGCTCACTCATCTGGAGTGAGGGACCTCAAGCAGTTGTGGTACAGCTCATGGGAAAAGAAAGCTGCCTCAGAACAGCCATTTCTCCTTGCACTGAATAGACTGGTTAGGAATCCCGCTGCAACTGCCCTTAGAGAGGAAGGAGAAACTCCTGCTTATAATGGTATAGTGCAACTACAATCTATCCTGGCCAAAACTGAAAGAGCTTACATTAAAAAACACGTAATCTTTTCTTCCTCTTTCTTTTCCCCATCTCACTGAGAAATACCGTCAGCACAGAAGGTCTCAGCCATTAAATGCTTCTCCAGCCTTTGCACTGAACATTTTATCATGAAAGCTTTTGGAAGAAAATTGTTGTGCTGAGGAATAAAGTATCAAAGAAAACATCCATAACCCCTCACTTCTTATTAAAGGTTTGCTCATTTATTCTATCTTTGGCTCTAGTCTCAAAGGGGAACAGCTTTTAGCATGAGAAGAGCTAAAAATTGCTCCCCTCTGGACGTGCTGCTAGGAGTCATTTCTGAGGCTTTCTCTGGCTCTTCCACCAGGAGCTGGAGGAATCAGTGGCTCAGATCCAGTGCAAAACTGTCACTGCATTTTTTCCCCCAACAGATGCCACACATAGCTGAAAAATAGGGGGCAATAAAGTGCCTTTATACCATACTTAGCGGCCTTATTATGGGATCAATTCATCTACTTGTTCTGTAGGCCCCAATCCTCATTTGCTCCCTGTTCTTCCCATTTTCACCCCAAACTCCTGCAATACAAGTGAGACCCAATGGAATAAATGACAGATGGATTCTGGGAGGGTTTCTTTTATTTCTTTAGGTTGTTTAAGAGTTTAACTTTGTTACCACAAGTTAACAGAGGACCAGACACCTCTTACAAGGCATTTTAAATCCTGACCTCCTCAAATCAAGATTTGTGTATCTTTTCCCAATGGATTCTATTAATTTCTTCTATAAAGTTTCTTTATTTCAAGGTTGACCATGTTTGCATTATTACTATTCATAAACGACTGACATTAATAACTGATGTACATTGATCTTGGTGAGTTCATGTTATTCACATCAACAAGCAATCAATGCATTCCATTTCCATTCTGCAGAGGAAAGCAGAAGCATTCAGTTCCTCTCCACACATCAAAGTGAATATATATCACAGGAGGCATCTACTGCTACACCTATAACTTGCAAAAAAAAAAAACAACCCAGCACAACAGCTGAATAAATGCAAAAGGATATACTTCAAGACTTCAGTCTTTAGGATGAGAGTTTCACTAGGTCATATCACATTCATGTACTGTGGAAAGCACCCAGCAACTCAGCCTGACAGTGACCTCCACTTGTCAGCAAAGTTTATCATCTCACAGGAATGCCATTGTCAGGGAAAGTTTTCTTCTCAGCTCCATTTAATGGGGCTCAGCTCCCCCCTCCTCACTCTACTCCTCTTGTCTCAGACTTAACCCTGTCCTGGACAAACACCAGGTCCACACCAGGAGCTGGATCTGTCTCAGAGGGTACAGACAACCTTTGTGTGGGTGCAGAGCTGCTCACCAGCTGAGTCCCCAGGAGGTGTCCACAGCTGTAGCTCTCCCCTCTGTCATGCCAGGCACAACTGGGAGCATCTGCAGACAGGGGCCTACCCTGAGCAGCCATAGCCACACAATATCCTCCTGCACCCGGATGCAAGGCACCATCACCAGTAAACCAAACTAATTGTCCCGTCACACAATTAATTCTCTATTATAAATTTTCTTATCTACCTAACCAAACTACTGAATCAAAGCCACACAAGATTTTACTTCTGTCCCCTAGGAGTGCCTCTGAGACACCATTTGGGAATCTAACCCTGGGGAAGACCTGTGAGACAGGCAGACGCTGCAGGGCCAGACACCAAGTCCTACTACAGTGCCAGGCCACAGCTGAGACCCAGACCACATGGCAGCCTGGATAACCATCTGACCAGCTAAGGCCTGGCCAAACACTATTTTAATTCAAGCATACACAGAAGGAGGAGGGAAAAAAAAATAGTTTTTAGTGATTGAAGAGGAGCATGACTGGTATTTTGTTAAAATAATTACAATAATAACCCCACGCCCAACCAAACAAAAACTCTGAACAAAAGTCTCTGGCATGAGTACCTATTTTCCTTTAAAAACATGAAATTCCAACATACTAGGAAAATAAAGATCATAATCAAAGCGTGGGATTTCAGGTATTTTATTCCTATGGTTCCCTGCTGGTAGAAAGCTATACTGCATAAGCCCAGCAGGGATTTCCCAGGGCACCAGTAAATCTTGTTACTGAAAACAGTACAGTCGGGGAAATTTAAATCCAAGCTACCTTGTTAACTGTCACCTACAAGCCACATCCAGCTGCAGAGAAGCCCTTTTCAGCAAGAAAACTTCCCAAAATGGAAATACTCACCCACACACAGGATGTTGAAACAAAACCCATGATTAACTGACTTATTAACCAGCTGGTCAGGCAAACTGTCAAATCCTACATGTCCGGAAAGTGGGACAGTACGACAGCCTTCACCCTGAAACACAATGAAACAGTTGTGTCATGTTCAAGCAAAATACACTTATCTGTATAAATCCTTAAGACCTCCCAAGTAGAATCAACTGCACAGTCCAAGCAGAGATTTGCACATACACTGTGAATTGTGTCACTGTGCTTCCCTCTTCTCCAAAACTAATCCAGGCAGCACAAACAGCATGTTTCATCTGGGGCACATTAGAAGATAGCCCTGTCAGAAAAACATTAAACTGTGCAAAACCAAACACAGCTGCTGAAATAGGGGCAGCAAAACATTTGTTTCTTGAGAAATTACATAGACACTCAAGTCTAACACTGAAAACAAAAAGAAACCCATGCAAAGGAACATATTAATGATACCTCCACCTATAAACATATTGCAATTCACTTAATGTGAATTGTAACTCACATGTAATTCACATTTACAGCTGCAATTACAGAATCTAGCTAGAAACAGTTAGGAAAACTGTACCTACATCTAGGAATTGAACAACCCAAACACTCTATCTCTGCAAAGCTCAAGTGCTGTAGCACTGGAACAGCAGAAAATACAGTCTTCAAGGTATCAAATGCAGTGATATCTCCTATATTGTTGCAAAGATTAAAATCTCAGACTGCAAACAGGAGCCTTCCCAAATCTATAAAATAGTCATTAGCACCAGAAAATCGGGGATTGCTGAAGCAAGCTGCACAGGCAGGAGGCCAGGCCATGTAAAGCAGCAGGTCTCCAGCTCTGCGTGCTGGTATCCAAGTTTTAGAGCGTATCTTTCAAAGCAAGGAACCAAACAGGGAAAAAACATGCAGCCCCATCAGAGGGGAGCCTGCATAGGAGTTTGGGAACAGCTGCCTGCTTGGGGGCACAGGCTGCTCTTGCACAGCCACCCAAAGGACTTCATGAGAAGCTGCTCCCACAACCTGCTCCTTCCTGTGCCCAACACCACTAACGCCATCCCCCAGCCAGGAGTCCCCTTTCTATCCTAGGGAGCAGAAGAGCTGAGCTCCAGCTCCAGCTGTGCTCCCCATCCAGCACAGATGTTTGCTTCTGGAGGGGCAGGCAGAAACTTTCACCTGGCCATTGCACAAAGTCCTATCTATGTACGCCAAGGCACTCCATGTTCCAAACATGCACAGAAGTAGTAACAAACCATACACAGAGGCTCAACCTCAGAAATGGCATCATGTAACACAGAGAGTCAGTGCTAGCCCTGTGTATTTCTGTGTACTTGGAAGTTCCCCTCCTGCAACTCCCCAATAACGTATTTTGCTTTCTGGAGCAAATGTATTTTAGTGTCAAACACAGAAAGTTTCCCACTGGCCTTTCAGGAACATCACTGGTTTCCAAGAAATACTACAGCCAAAAGGCAATAGTTTATAGGGTGTAATTTAAACTTACTCTTTCAGAATCATGTTTCCACATATCTTGAAAGCCTTTCTATGGGGACAGACATACTGGTTTTCCTTCTTCTGCTAAAGGCACTGGTATTTTAGGTCAGGAAAACATCCCCAAGGACTGCATTTCCTACAGTAGCCTGCCAGAGTATGATTACTTGCCTCATTACTGCTTTCCTGATGAGGGCTTTTTCCCCCAAAGAGGCTCCAAATACACTCCAACCATTAACCATGCTTACCACTCTGTGATGTGTAAATATGTTTTCCCTTAGCCATATTTTGTGTATCAGTCTGACTCTTCCTGCCAAGATGTTCACCAAATATGGTGCTTTATTAATTCCTGAGCACCATGCCTCCAAACGACATGTTCATCAGGAAGGTGCTTGAGTTCCCCAGCAGGTTCTGTTTTTGCGTTGTGAGGATGCAGCTCCAAGGCCCAACAGTTCACAAATAAACAGCTAAAGCAGAAGAAAGGGAAACTGGCAGGCACGCAGATCTTATGATAATACAACCTCTCCCAAACTGCTTTCATCGAAACAAACCCAGTGTTGGAGTACCTCATGGCAGTGTTTGATCTGCAGCAACAGCACCATGGCCCAGGTGAAGAACAGATGGGTGGACAGAGTCCACAAAGGCATGAGACAGAACCTCAGGCAGAAAGGGAAGGAGAAATATCAAGCGTATTTTTAATACTCAGCCATAAAACTGCATCATTGGAAGACTGAACACTACTCTCCCCAGGAAGTGTGGGCAGGAGTGTAGGCTCTCATTAAGAACAAATCTTTTTCTCATCCCTAAATATAAGTGTGATCCAGATGGAATAAAATAAATGGTAGAAGTTAAAGTTGCTCTCAGCTGAGAGGAGGCATTTACCATCACACAGAATTCAGCCTGCAAGTAATTTCCTGTAGCCTCTTTTTCTAGTCACCTGTGGTTTTATAATGCAGTTAAACCACAGTTCACATCTGCTACAGGCCAGGAAACAAGTACTGCAAAATCTGATTTCCAGCCGCAGCAGCTGAGCCTTCATGTTACATACGCAGCCAGGAGGTAATATTCTGCTCCTCTGGCTAAAAACCCAAAGCTGCTTGGCCAAGGCATCAAGAGATCAGATGTAGTGTGAAAAAATAAGAAATAGTGTTTTAAGATCGTACTAGTTTTGACACACATCAGAAAGCTGTCAGCAATTACCAAACCTGCAGAGATAAAAAGAAACATTTTCTATCTGATCCACCAAGAAACAGTGCAAGTCACCAGTCTCCATGCACCAAGTGGTGTCAGTATCCAGAACACTGCTATATATAAATAGCATCACCATAAACAACATACGAACCCAGCAATTAGTCATCCTGCCTGTACATTAAATGTGGATTTGGATTACCTTGTTCAAAACTGAAGGAGAATATGTCAAGTTTATAAGCTTTTTGCTGATAAAAGTGCTCAAGAGGGATCTTCATTACTTATCTTCAACAACAGTCTTTCAGGTCAAACGTAAAACATATAAAGAGGTACCAAGGTGAGCAGGACTGAACTATTGTATGTGTGAAGGCTGTTCCCAGAAGCACCAGTAAGCACTGGATGGCCAACAATCCTTCCAAACTCTTTAAAGTTAGCATCTCCTTGGAACTAAGACAAAGACAGGATCTCTGGGAAGCCAATGTGAACACTGGCACCACACCAAGATACCAGATGCCTTTTTATTTCCCCGATACACACAGAGTGACACCCCCCCCCCCCCGCCCCTCTCCGATCTCCAGGATAGAATGGGCTGTTGTTGCTTGAGAGGAAGCAAAGCATGTTTGCCACAAACAAGATTAGAAGAACAAAAAGAGCAGCATGCTCTCTTGCTGCATTACCGGGGTGTCTTTTGCAGAGTGAAAATAAGGAGCAGGCTCTTGAAGAGGTTATTTATTTTTAATCTGTCTTTGGAGGATTTACACACCTTTTGTTAGGGCTTCTCCATGCCACAGAAACCACTGCTGCCACTCTAAATCTTAGAGAGAACTAATCAGAAATATATGGAAAATACAAAGATGTTATAATAAATTACTCCAAGCCTGAAAGCACTATAAATTAAATATTAGTTTACATAAAATGGGCCAGATTTAGACTCCAGAAGTTTGGGTCATTCCAGGGTCCTTGGGATGAAAAAAAACCCCATGATTAGAGGAAAATCCTGCTGAACGTGTGTCTCTGCCTTGACCTGCTTTACACAAGCAGGTATAGCACTGTCACCTCCTGATATCCTCAGAGCACTAAGAGGCCGTTACCACAGAGCTTGCTTCACAAGATAATGCAGTGGTGCTGCTCATTGCAAATCTCAACACTCCACATTCAGAACAGTTTCTGGTGGTCTGGACTAAGGGAACAATGAGAAAGGACACCATGTCAAAGGAAAAGCCTCCACCTGGTGATATTCGGGCAGAGCACAGCAACTAAATGCTACATCTCTGAACTAAAGGCATCCAGCATCCAAATGAGCCTGCACAATAAGAAAACACTCCTGAAGACTGGAGTACAATACTTCTGCATATAACTGGAAAGACTTTCTGTTGAGGAGACTGATAACTGACATTTTGTACTTCTGACACAATTTCCCACCTCTGCCCAGGTAAGAATCACTTCAAACTCTGAGGCCTTAGAAACTCCCTGCAGCGGATTTCTAAAGGGCTGCAACAAACATAACAGCACCATCCAGCAATGAAAACAAATCAAGCAATGCATATGGAACTCCATCACCACTGACCATGCTGCCAGCTGCCACCCCCTCCCCTCTGCCACCCCAAAAGCTGAGACACAGGGTTAACCCCTATGCCTGAGACAACTCTTGCACAAGAAGTTAAATGTCAAATCCCAAAGCAAGGCACAACCTGAATTCAAGCTTACACATTATCTTTAAGCCAGAACACCACCAGATCCCTTCTCACACTCTCAGTGTTATGGCATCCACTTCCCCAGACTACATTTGGCTCTCATTAAACAGCAAATTAGAGCAACACTTGTACCAATTACTTCTCACTTGTACAAGTGTGTAATTCTCTTATGCAATGACAGAATTATCCAGCAGACAGTATAAACATCCTCCACAAGATAAATGCAAAGAAAGAATGCAAAGTGTAGAGAAAGTATTTGTTTTCCTTGCTTGGCTGATAACAAATTGTCAGGGTGCATATAAAAGAACAGAAAAGTGGGAGATAAATACTTTTGCATCAGCCACCATGGAAAGCAAGAAGTGTCTCACCAAAGCTCCTGACACTGACCACCCTCTTCAGGCACACTGATTGCATCATTCAGACATTCAACGTTCACAAATGGCCAAGTGCTTCCAAAATCTCAAATTCTGACAGCTCTTAAGATTCTATTTCTTTATGCCCCTGCGGACACTGCACTGCATACGCTCCCAGGAGAAGTCTCCTCCAGCAATTAAAATATCAGATTTTTCTGACCTGTACTACAGAGATTCAGAGTTAGACAGTGGCCTAAGAGCCGGTCCTCTGCACCCATGGGGAGCGCTTGAATCCTGCACCCTCCATGCCGGCAGAGGACAGGAGAGGGGCCTCAGCCCTGGCAGTGATAGGATCACCCCAGGAGGGGGCTACACCAACCTGACCTGCGGGTTAGACCAGGGACAGGGGCAGGGTGGTGACCCCAACATCTCCCCATACCCAGCCTCAGCTCGCATATTTAACCTCACTGGCAGCTCTTACAGCTGCTCTGTGCTCTGTGAACCATGGCCACAATCAGATGCCCAAGATCTGGGCTGACAGGTTGTCTGTCTCCACAAAGACACCTCCAATTTGCAGCACACTAATTTCATGTCCAGCTCATAGCCAGCTTTCCCTTTTGCCTTTGAAGAGGCTGTGCTGTATCATAATTCATTCCAGGCCATGAGCAGACACTGAAACTCCTGTACATTATCTTAGGGAAGCCTAATGCTCAATTTCTTTAAAAGACAGGGGAGCAAGTGAGTCACTTTACATACCTTGGCAGTCACATACAAGGCAACGGGTATGGCCAGGAGGAAATAACATCACAAACTGGCAAGGAATGGCTACATCTACCCGTTCAACAAGACTGGGTCCATGCTAAAATGTACTGCTTTGAAGACGGAACAGCAAGCATTCACCTCAAGTATTATTTGTGTACTAACACAGGGACACCAAAGTTGGAAGCCCATCAAAACACGACAAAAAGCTTCCAAATGCAAAACTGATAGAGATTCCTTGTTAGCATTACTCTAACAAAAGCAGAGGTGGCTCAACTCCCTCTGCTCCTCTTCTGGATAATTCTCTGCAGCACACAGCAAGCTTTGTGCCACGCTGGAACGCTGGTGAGCATCAGCAGTGGAAGGAGTGGCTGTGGGCAGCAGGGATGACACCGCAGGGGGACCCCTGGGGACACAGCGCAGCAAGGATGCGGTGCCAACGTACAGTGAGAGGTCCAACAGCTCCTCCACAGCACAGGGTGCTGGACGGATGGATGGATGTCCTTCCCTGCAGCAATCACTAACAGGCACAGATGACAGTTTCTCTGGGAGGAGAACAGCATCCCTAGAGAAACAGGGATGCCAAGGGGCTCAGTGCCCACTACCACCCTCTGGCCTGGCAAGCGGCCTCCAGCCCTGCGTACGGGTGCAGGATGAGGCCTCCCCAGCACGGCAGTCCGACCCGCCCCGGAATGCAGGTCCCTCAGTAGCCGCGGCGGGGCCCAGGGACGCAGGTACCGGCAGGGCAGGACCCCCGGGCTCACCCTGGTGCAGGCAGCCCAAGGTCGCCGGGCTGGGCGGCTGCCCCACAGCCAGCGGTGGGGACCCCATGCGTTTCCCCGAGGTAACCGCGGCTCCCCTCAGCGGGGCCGACAAACCACGACCCTCCCGGGAGGCCGCCGCCGCCCGCCCCGAGCCCCAGACCCGCGGGAAGCGCCGGGCCGGTGTCCCCGCAGCCCACGCCCCGCCCGGCGCCCCCTGACTCGCCCCAGCCCGGCCCTACCCGCCCCGCTCCGGCCAGGAGCTCCCGCCTGCCGGCCCGTCCGCTCCCGGCCCGCTGGAGGCCGGCGGCAGCAGCGCCCCCGGTCCGCTCTCACCTGCCGCGCCACCTCGGCCGCCGCCATCGCTACGAGCCCGCCACAGGGCCCGCCCCAGCCGAGCGGGCGGGCGGGCAGCTCCGGGCGCGCCCACCGCGATGCCACGCAGGGGAGGGGGGGAAAGCTGATCCGCCCCCCCCAGCCGAGCGCCCCTCGCCCCCCGCGCCACCGACACCTCTCCCCGCTCTGCCGACACCCCACCCAGCTCAGTCCCGCCGCCGCCGCTGCCCCGCTCCGGGAGGCGCAGGGCTGCCGGTCCCCCCCCTCGACCGCCCGCGATGGTGCAGCCCTGCCTGCGGGCGGGGCCGCGGCCGCTGTGTGGCGGGGAGCGGCGGGCCGAGGGGCGCGAGGCGGGCGGCAGTGGCGGGCGGGCAGCGGGGCTGTGAGCCCTGCTCCAGCGACTCCGCGGCCCCAGAGGACGGCCAGGCCCGCGGGGACCCTGCCCGCACCCCGCACCCTGCCCGCGCGCCGCTTGGCGGAGCTTCCCCCGCACTGACTCCTCAGGGCCCGGGGGGACCCGCCCGACTGCCCTGTGGCTCCTCTGTTAACGTGGGCCGCGGGATCCCAGGGCTGTGCACGGCCGGAGCCCACAGAAGCCACCAACAGCCAGTGACAAAACCAGGCATTCCAGAAAGGGAGCGAGGGGACAATTAGGTTTTCACAACCAGTCATTTGGGCTTTATGGAATGATACCAGTTCCCCACACATCCCAGAAAACCTGGTCCAAGTGGCTGAAGAAAGGCAAAGCTACTTAGGGGCTGAAAGTCAGCCTGGGGCAGGCTGGAACAAGGATAAAACAGGGAAGGAAAGGAAAAAGGGTTGAAGGGGCTGGTGTGGCTCTGCCTGAGCAGCCCTCAGGCCATGTGACAGTTCAGCCATGCTGTGGGAGTCTGAGGAGTCAAGGACAAGAAAGGTCTTGGGAGAGAGGACTGGAGGCTTCCAAGGCAGAGGAACTTGTCCTGATTCCTAATAAAGTTGGGGTACAAACTGCTGGTGGCTGCAGTCACCAACACCGGGCATGGGGCCTTGCTGGGAAGTGAAACACAGCAAGAGAGGAAGGCCACAATGCTGCTGGGCTGAAACACTGAGTGGCAAGGGCCCCAAATCACCGTGCTGGGCTGGGGCTCCCTTACAGCATGGAGACCCACCCGCCACTAGCCCCTTGGAGCAGCAACGTTGTCCTTCCTGAGCACAGCAGTACGGAGAAGCATTGCAATGGTGGGGAGCAGTTTGGGGGGGCTGTACTGCAGGTGCCCCCAGCAAGGCACCTGGAACTTTGAGATGCTCCTGAGACCAAAGGAGGTGTCCCCAGGATTTACACACACCAGTGTAACACAGGTGTTAACACACAGGTGTTACAGATTTACACACACCAGTCACTGCAAAAGAGAATGCCAAGTCCAAGTGAAGGTTTCCTATTAGTCTTTTAATAGTTCTTCAGTCACAGCTGGAGCTGGGTGCCTCAAGAGGGGGATCCCTATCCCAATTCATGCCTCCCAGTTATACCTGTTCCGCAAATCACCCCATCCCCAAGACCAATCACTTCATTCTGGTGGCTGGTCTCTTAATTGTCTCACTGGGTTTCACAGTCACTGGGCTGGCTTTCACCTCTTTGGTCCCTCTCCATTATGCTTGTATCTGCTGAATTCAGTGAGTTCTTTGTTAGCAGCTTTAGTTTTACCACGCTTACCTGCTGTCAGCTCTTGCAGCTGAAGGCTTCAGATACTTTGGCTGCTAATGCTAAGCCACGAATGCCAGAGGACTAGAGAGAAGAACGCAGTTAATCAAATTCCCTCCACAACAGCAGCATTGGGCTGCCCAAACCCGCTGGTCCCGCGCTCCCCTGCTCTCCCTCTGTGTCACCTCAGGTGAGGAGCCCAGGGAGCCGGCCAGCCCCTGGCTCTGGCTCTGGCTGTGCCCGGCGCCGGCGGCAGCCACGGGTGCAGCGTGACCAAAGGTCACTGCGCCGCCCCGGCAGTGCAGCAGCCGTGCCCGCCCTGTGGAGTTGGTTCCTCCTTTGCCTAACGGCGGGGCAGGAAGTGTGGGGTGCGGGCTGCGAGCTGAGCCCTGCCGGGGAGGGGAGCGGGCTGCCGGCCGGCCACGCGGGAAGCACCGACATGGCCCGGCGGGAGCGGGCGCAGGGCTCGGCTGAGCCGAGGGTTGCTGGCATTGCCCGGGCATCCACCTTCCGGGAAGGCACGCTGCCCAAAGCGGGGAGCCTGGCCCGCATCTCCCATCTCTGGCCAGGCACGACAGGGAGCAGGGAGCGTTTCCATTCGCTGCAGAGGATGGACACCAACAGGAGCGTCAGCCAGAGCCTGGGGAGCTGGGGCAGGACTGCAGGCCGGCTCTCTGTTGGCTCCGGCAGCACCCGGAGGAAGGAGCTGAAGGAAATTCTCCTGCAGAGCAACAGCCCCGGCAGCACCATGCGGTTTGCCACCGCTCAGAAGACGTCCGATGTCAGCGGTGTCCTTCCAGGGACACACCAAGAGCAGAAGGCCGAGCAGAGCCCCGAAGTGCTGTCCCTTGCCCTGGATCCCCTGGAGCATGAATGGCTGCTGACAGTGGCCCAGGGTGATGCAGACAACATCATCAGGCTGCTGGACCTAGATCCCAGTCTGCTGAACAGGAAAGACTTTGTGACAGGCTTCACCGCTCTCCACTGGCTTGCCAAGCATGGCCACTATGAGAGCTTCATCCAGGTCATCTCCCATGCCCAGAAGAAGGGCTATCCCATCAATGTGAACATCCCTACGGCCAGCGGTGGCTTCACCCCCTTGCATGTGGCTGCCCTGCAGGGACACGAACTGCTCATCAAAGTGCTGGTGGGAGCTTATGGGGCAGACACCAGCCGCAGGGACCACAACGGACGCAAGGCTTGGCAGTACCTGAGTGCAGACACCTCCCAGGAGCTGAAGGAGCTGGCGGGGGCCTTGGAGGAGGACTTGGTCCAGCTGTGCTCTCACAACACCAACAACAACTGTAAGTCATCCAGTGAGGCCAGGGCAGGGCAGGACTGTGTGGACTCTAGGGCTGAGGGGAAAGCCCAGCGCTCCTGGAGCATGTCGACCCTCCGGGTCTTTGTCCGACAGGCATTTACTTTCTTCCAAGAGCGCTAAAGCTCCCCTGGCCCCGTTCTCCTGCAAACCTAAGCTGAACAGTAGCTGGAAGAGCCTGTGAGGGGCTGGGAACCGGGCACTTGAAATCCCAGCCAAGCAGGGCTTGACCTCCTGCATGGGGGCACTGTGGCCACCTGGGTCTCATGTGGTCTTTCGGGGCTTGTGCTGGTATTCGTGTGTGTGGCAACCATGGCAACCATGCATGTGTCCAGAGGGGATTTTTCCCGCACCCCTGCTGATGGGCATTCCTTGCCACAGCCCAGCAAAGCCCCACAGTGGGGGCTCACATGCTGGCATTGCTGTGGGGAGCTGCTTCTGCAACACCCCGCATGCCTCTGTGGGGATGCTGACCCTCTATATCCATGTACTGTCCTGAGGTGGATGTTTGGATGCCCATCCCAGGCTGCTGACAGACTTTGTGTGTGACTGCAGGTGGGTCATGCAGCGACTTGGTGTCTTTGTTGTCCCACCTATAATATGAGGCTGTGTCGTGGTTTAAGCCCAACCAGTAACTCAGAACCACGCAGCACTCCCCTGGCTCCCAGTAATGCTGTGAAGTTGGACTTGTCGTGGCACCTCAGGTGCCTGGATGGAGACACTGGCAGAACAGGATCACATATTTCGCAAGCACACTTGTGATGCCAGAGGCCTGGCACTGGGCTGACCATGGAGAAGCAACTATGGCTTCAGAAACAACCCCCCAAACACTTTTTTATGTATGCTTTCCTGTTGGCAGGGAGAGTGAGTACAGACAAGCAGGCTGTGCCTCCAGCCACAAACACTTTCCAGCTCCCTGTGAGGTTTCCAGACCTCTTCTACATGTACCTCCTCTGGGTTGCTGTTTGTCTATAACGAGCTAAAGCTGTTTCTCAAAGTAAGAGCTGGAGTGCACAGCAAAACAAAGTTTTCAAAGTACAAGACAACTCCCCCCTGGCAGCCCCTCCCTGGGACCCCCATCCAGGGGGGCCTGAGATGCTCAGCCCCACTGGAGATGGGGGCAGGAGTGGAGGAGGCAGGAGGGACACCCAGGAGGGTGCCATGTGGTGGCTCCCGCAGGGACTGGAGTTGATGAGCAGCTCTGGAACAATGACTCATTGCTCAAAACCATGGAAAATGTACAAAGGCTGAGCGATTATCTTTGTTGCTACTGAGGTCATGCTCAAAAATGAAACTCTTGAGAAATGTCCCTATAGCAGCATAACCCTGTGTGTATGTACTGGTAAATTCATTAAACAGGCGAAACTTCACCTTGCCTGTTTGTGTTTGTTTCACCAAATGGAGCTCTGCCCAGCTGATTTCAGCTTGCTTTTCACATTCTCAAAAGCCAGGGCTGCTTCAAAATATATTCAGAAAAACAACTTCCCCTTTTTCATCAGCATGAGACCACTTCTACCCCCTTAAATAGCAACCCCATTTGAGAAGTGGCTCTCAGACAGCACATGGGGAGTTTCTGTTCCCCATCACAGTGCAAAAGCTCTTGCAGAGACATCACTCCATTTATATTCAGATTGTGAAATGCTGCTCAGACACTGGAATAACACAGTCTGCAGGGGACAATACATGGAAGAACATCCTCCAGATAAGCAGACAGTAATCTGGTGACTGGACAGTGACAGGTGACACTGTCACCCAGGTGACAGGGTGGACACATAGACGTGTCTGGACATCTTAATCACCAAGGTCAGCAGCAGAGACATACAAAACATACAGCGAATGGATTTAATGCCTGATCTACACTGGGTTTGTAAGGCTTTCACTCTCATTAAGGACTGTAACAACATACCTCCTTCCAGAGTCCCTCTGGCCACATCCATACCACAGGACAACAGGCTGGCTTCCAACAAGCCTGGCCACAGCAGCACAAAACTCCATGAAAAGCACTGATGTCAGAACACCAGCAGCCCTTAGTTCTGGTAGCCACAGCACTGTTGGTAAGACAGGTGGGTGCATGTCTACTGAAGTATTTTTTGACCCATTAGTCCTCTCTCACCCTTTCACAGCAGCATGCTGTTAAGCAGAAGGTGCAGGACCACTCCTGACATTCTTCTCTGAGTAAGGCACCAGTGCAATTAGTGAGAACTTCCTTGAAGGAGCAGTTTCCTTGGCATTTGAAACTGCAGCTTAGTCATGCTGCACCCGGAAACCTGGACTTCCATTGGAAAGTAAAATTTAACTGGCAAATGCCACACTTAAGTAAGATTAAACAATTTTTAGTACTTGCCTCCCCTTGACAGCTATCCAAATCGCCTACAGGCAGCTTCCCAACCATCTTTTGGCCATGGGTTTGAAGCTGCATTCTGCTCTGAGGCAAATTAGGCAGGCACTTCAGAAGGAGCAAGACCAGAGCCTGGTGTTACAACACACTCATCAATGCCACCTCTGCCTTGCCTGCCCTGCAAGGGATCCTCTCCTCAGAGCAAATGCCAGTACCCTTTCTGCTGCTGTGCATCATGTTTGCCCCAGACACCACTCCTCATTCCATGGTTTTTTTCAGACCTACAGAGGGGAAGTCAGTTTGCAAATACAGACATTTTAAAAATACCGAGGTATATAATCTTTGTATGCTTTGCGTCTCACTCAAATGAAAGCCTAGCCACAAAAATGGGCTAGAATATCCAAATTGGTTTTTTTTCTTCTTTAAAACTTCTGCTGATGTCTTAGTTACTGTGCATTAGCCCAGTTCTGCAGAGATCCCTGACCTCCCTTACAACTTGCAGGGAAGGCGAGGGCAAAGAGAGCTGCCACAGGGCAGCAGAAATCATTCACACCCAGAGGTATTTGTGTTGGTTAAGGTTCTGAAGAAAACTGAGTTTAACCCAATTCTAATTTGTAGTAAATTTACTTCATGCTATCCCTTCATGTCCAATTTGAAAAGCAGTCAAATGGGGAAAAGTATTATGAGGGGTTATCTTCCAAAGCAGCTCCTTGGTAGAAGCTGCTTCCTCCTAATAAAAATAGAAGAGTATTGGGAGATTATCTAACAAACAGTAATAGTTCAATCTATTACTTAGGAAAGGCTTCCCACAAATGCCATGGAGAAAACTCTTTCCATTCTAAAAAAATTACTTTTCTCCCCGTCAGTTAGGTCCTCATAGACACAAATAAAGAGAAACTATGCGCGCAGCTCTGCCTGCCGGCAGTGGTGATGGGGAAAGGCAGAGGGCTGTTCACAAGGCTCCAAGGCTGATCTTTGACCCTCACCAGTGCTGTTATTTCCTAAACACTTGTTTCAGAGAGAAGAGCACAGAAGAGATTTAAAAAACATGGGGTAAAAGTGTTTGCAGCACCTGGGCCTCTGTTGAAACATCTCTGGCAATGCTGTTTGCTGCTTTCCTGTTGCAGTGACTTACTGCTTCCCCCCCCCCCCGATAGCGAGGTAGAAACTACTCTTTACCAGACAGGAAAGGGGCTAGAAGTTACATCTGAAGTGGCCTGAAGATGATAAAAATCCCAGCCTTGCTCTGCTGTGCTCACGGAAACTTCCAGCACATCTTATAAGACTGTCAGGATCTCTGAGCGAGGCATCTGTTTGTTATGCATTTATGCGTGCTCAGCATATGCTGCTGCCCAGCATTATTTGCTGTGAAACAGAACATGAAGGAGATGTATCTATTTACCTTCAACATGAAAAGCAGCAACAACGGAACATATGGCAGCCTGAGGCTTCCTCAGGAAGCTGCCACCCAAAAACTGAGCTACCGCAGCAGCCTGAACCCAGAAAACAGCACCTCAGCGTCAGGATGGGCTCTGCAGCAGCCACATTCAAGAACAGGTTTGCACCTTCAGTTATTTCCTGCTGACCAGAGCACCTGTATCAGGTCTGCACTGCAGAAGGGAAAGGAGCAGCAGGCACACAGGGTGGTGCTGAGGCACAGCCTCCTCCTCCTCCTCCCTGCAGTATGTAGGTGACATTGCACATGCCCAGCTGGGGAGCTGGAGTGATGATTTCTCTGGGCAGTTTAACTCCTTCCTTTGTCCCTTTTTTAAATAGGTACTAACTCTTCCTTTGAGCAGCATCTTCAGTTACTATGCTCCTGCTGAGAACATTATTTTAAAACACCTTTGTCTGGCATCAAGACCAACTTGATCAAGTCAACACAAAGCTCCAGACACAACTCAGGTGGTCATTCTAAGGAAAATGCAGCCATTATGTACTACAAGTTGTAAGATTGTGGCATTTTATAGGAGCTAAATCTATCCACTGCCTGTGCCCTATTCTTCCCCCCTCCTTTCCTATCTCCTTAGTGAAACCCTTATTTCACCTGATTATTCCACTGCATCCACTCTCCAGCCAGCATCTTAACCCCAGACTCCATGGGCTGCCCTGCACCACATCCCACCTGAGAGCCAGCGCTCCAGAAGTGGGGCCAGAGCTGCTGGGGTATGAAGCTCCCTGAGCAGACTCAGGACAGGCAGTGCTCAGGGCAGCCTTGCCCATATGCTGCTTTGTTTGTGAGTACCAATGATCATCTCAGCCCCATGCTCTCACTCCATGGGCAAGTGTTCTTACAGCACCTGTGGGCACATAACGTTTCAGCATTTGCCAAGTACCATGGTGCCCTTTTCCACATTAACTCCTTTAAAAATCAGTTCTGATTTTTACTCTTTCCTTAAAAGAAATGGCATGCTTTGCTCCAAGAGGTTTACAGTAAGTGGAAAGGAAGACAGGGCCTGCTCTATCTGATAACGGTTTCTCACACGGAGATTATACTCACAGTAACATTAGTTTTTATTCTGTTACTATCCCACCATATATATATAGATGAAATAATTTCAACCAAGTCATCCAGGTCTGTATTTATTAGTAAACCTGTACACTGTCAACACTCATGATGATGCCTGAAAGAAAGAACACTAACAGAACACAGTCTTTATGTTTCAGATGCAAATTACTTCCAAGATTTTCCCAGTTAACAGAAATATCCCAGACTAGCTTACAAAAAAAACCACCATAAACCACACATCTGGGGAGTGCAGTCCAACACTACAGAGGGAATCACTTGGGGGTGCCAAACAGCCACAGGTGTATCAGTCTGACGCAGAAAGACAAGTGTTATTAGAGTTCTCAGGAGATAGTCCCTCTTACAATCCCAGTTTGGTCCTTCTCCAGTGCCTCCTTTTGGAGTTGTACCTAAGACAAAAGTAGTGTACATTAGCAAAGGGCACACACATTTGAGGATCCAGGTGGAGTAAAACCACCTTGAATTAACTAAATGGTAAGGACCTGAAATCTTTTTTATGTGCTAGAATGGGAAGCTGCCAACAATCATCAGCTGTGAACTCAGTTTAGAATTTCCACCTCATCACTATAGCACATTTCTGCAACAGAATCTAGACCTCAAGGAGGTAAAGGTGCCTGCAGAGATGCAGCACTGACATGTGAACATCTTCCCTCCTCCTTTGGAGACAAGACCTGTGATCTTGTACTGATTGTCCAAAGATAAGGAAAAACTACCTCCTGAATGTAGTTCATAATCTAACACAAAAAGTATCAGTTTTCTTCAAAATTTGGAAGCAGAGCAGCATATGTAAAGGCTATCTTCCAGTAAAGTATATTAATTTATCAGTATGTACTTGTACCTGTTAAGAACAAATGGTTTCACCACTGTACAGGTGAAACCAAGGAGACTTGTTAACAGAGACTCTCTCAGCAGGAGAATGGCAGTACTCCCACAGGAGGAAGCACTGCAATTGCAGCCTGCTTTAGCACAGGTTGGGAAAAACTGGTGATCAATGTACTAAAGTGCCGTAAGACAAACCAATTTTTTCCATGATAAACTATTCCAAAGTAGTGCAATTAGTAGTGCAAACAGAACCCAACTGCAAGTTGGTGTCTGGAAGACAAGGATACAGTTTGGGGTACACAATACTGATTCTACCTAGAAAGAAACGTGGCAAGTCTGTGCCCTTTCACTGCTTGACCCAGCCACTGCTACTGACACTCTACTGACTACCCAGGACAAAAAAACAATCTGGGAGAAAGAATCCTGTTCCCATAGAAAGTTTAGACAAGGAAGTGTATGAGGTAAAAAGCCAGTGACACGGTGTAAGTGAACAAATTACACTGGCTGAAGCTTTTAAACCAGAGGGCTTAGATATACACCACCTTTTGCATGCCTCACATTCACCCAGTATTTTTACAGTCTGCTCTTACTGCATTTTTCTAAATACAACGCTTGAAAACAAACACTATGGGCAAACAAAAAGGAACTGTTGCAAATCAATTCTGCAGTGATGTAGCAAGGATCTTACACTGTCAACTTTATCTCACATACACCCAAGAAGCCCTTTGCTCCCTTAAAATCTGTGTCTCAGAACACCCCTGCTCAGTGAGGTACTGTTCCTTGAGATGCAGGATCGCAGAGGGACAGCTCTGAGTGAGGGGGAAGGTGTTGGTAGGACAACATCAGCAGCAGAGGCTACCAGGATACAACTTCTGCAGTAAATCATCCACAAGTAAGTTCATGCCTTTAATTTACATGTGCGAACACCAAACACCTGTGGATCCTTGCAGAGCACTGGCATGAACTGGACTGCTACAGAAGAAACTGGCATGGAAGCTCCACACTGCCTCAAGAAAACACAACAGGCCAACAGTACCTGGAGTTGTGGGTCTGCACCAGTGCTCCCATATGGAATTCACAGCCAGAAAACTGCACTGTTACTTGCATAAACTTTTTTTACACAACCAGCTTCTGACTTCAGCCCAAGCGGCACATGCAGCCTGACTAGAAAGCAACAAACCATTACCTGATCTTATTGCCAGTCTTCATGCGAATCCACTGTGGGATTGGCCGGTTCTGCTTCTGCTTCTTGGCAAGGAAGCGCTTGATCTTGAACGTCTTGTGAGACGACTAGAAGAGAGAGCAGCCGTTAGGCCCACACATCAGCCACCGCCTGGCAGCCGGGCCCGGGCCGGCCGCCCCCCGCGGGAGCTCAACCGCGCCGACGCAGAGCAGGGCACGGTGGCGGGCAGGCCGCAAGGCCTCAGCGAGCCATGAAATGGAACGGAACGTTGGACCCAGAGCCTTCCCGCCGTCTCCCGCCCCCCCCCGGGCTGCGGGGAACGCAAACCAGCCAGCAGCAGCGACAGGGGCCCGAAATATCGCGCCCCGGGAGCGGATGGCGGCAGATAGTCTCACCATGGCGCGGAGTACCCTGGCGTCCCAGCGATGGTGGCGACGGAAGAGGCGGAAGGGGCGGGGGAAAGCGGCGAGAGGCGAGGCGGAAGGGGCGCGGGCTGCGCGGCAGCAGCGACCCCTGGCGGCCCGGCGCACACAAGGCGCAGTGAGGGACGGCGGCGGCACGAGTTTGTGCGAGTTTATTGGGTTTAGTACAAAACAGCTATGGCTAAAATTCGCTAGCTTAGGAGGAGCTGCTACTGGTGAAGTCTCTTTCTGGGCTGTAAAACAACAGTTCAAGTTATGAGGGAGGACAGGAGTGCGGTAACGCTCCAGACGGTGAAGGGAGAATGCTGCAAAAGAACAGGATGCCCAAACCAGCTACATTTGATTAAAAGTAAGCGTTTCAATGTAGGTAGACTTTACATGAGAATTTGTCAAGAAGTATTCCAATATTAAGCCAGCTTATTCATACACTCCAACTTAGTTACTTAATATCCAGAGAACCAGGAAAGAGGAAGGTCTCTCCCTCCCTAGCATTATCACTGATATGCCAAGCGTTCTCCTCTTCCTGTGCCAGAGGCTTCTCCTCTTCATCGGCACCTCAACTGCCTCAGCCTGTGTACCTGTCTCCGTGCCAGACTGACATCACTCAGCTATCACTGCCACACAACACCTGTGTTAACTCCGGGCAACTTCAAGCTTGCTCTGCTTAAGCACATCAAACACTGGCTCCCATCGCCTTACAGTAAAGCTCTGGCTTCAGATCCAGGTGTCATCTCCTCCTGACTGCATGACTCATTTATTATCATACTTAAGGCCATAAAGTCTTTCTACTCTGCAAAGATTCTCTTCTCTGATGTAGTTTAGATGCTGGGAAAATAAATTCAAATAACTGAAAATACAATGAGAACACATTTCAAATTCCAAATCTACAGCTGAGGTTCTTTTAACATCCAACAGCACAATGCCCCCTTGTCTTCCTTTGTTCCTTCTTCGCTTCGAAGGCACTTCTGGATTGCGTAGTACATGCTCTTTGGCCGCACAGACAGTCAGAACACATAAGGCTTGCATGCTAGTCACTCCTCTTCCTTCATATTACTCGTCTCACTCTCTTGTTTCTTATCCGCACCCTGATCTGCGGGCTTTGCAGCACTGTCTTCATACTGACACAATCTGCTTCGGCTTCGGGCTCCTGGCTGGTACAGCTGCATTGCTGGACGATCCTGAAATAAATCAAAACTATTTAGACTCTTTCATAGCCCCAAGCCATCGTAGTTATGATGGCATCAGTGATACTAGAAATGGCTCAAACTTTTCAAGCTGTTCTAAGTTAAATTATTCCACCACGTTTGCAAGGTAACTTCAACTGTTTCAAATCAAGGTTGTCTCTGTTGTAAGGCAACACCCCGGTTCAAGGCACAAACACCACTGTGCACAGCTGAAGTTATCTGTAAAGAGCTTCCTCCTGAAATGAGTTCAACTTGCCCTCTCTCACAACAGAGGCCAACTTCAAGCTTCTTCAAACCCCCGAGTTTCATTTGTATCCAAAAATGCCTTAATTGACATGGAAAACCTGCATACAACAGATTTGCAGGGTATATAAAACTATGCCCGAGACATTCTTTCTTCAGTCTACGGGAGATCTTCTGTCATATTCTGCATGTAGCAGTCTTGTCCCCATTTGAGGGACCCTGTTCAATCACTCTCTTACTTCAAGATGTACTTTCAGGCATGTATAGTGTCAGCAAGAGACACATGAAGATTACTGATGCTCTGCTGACACTTTATAAAGATACAGTCTAAGGCGTAAGTCAGCAAATGAAAAGGAACTGGTGTCTTTACAATTTAGCCCACGGTATCATGGCTTAATTCCTATACAGTGGCAAAGAGTTTAAGCAAAGTTTAGTACACAAACAGGCAAACTTTCTAGCAATGGCAGAGTTTGTTACCAGAACAGGGAGAACTTTCAACAGAGAAACCACACGGTTCTCTCCTTGAACTGCTTTTACCCTAAAGCCCACAAACTGGTCCATATGAATCAGACACATGTATTTAAAGAAATCCAGCACCTTGTTTCTGATACGATCCCTCTTAATTGTATCCTCTTTCTTATCATCTTTGGTTACTTTGTCAGATTTGTCCGTGCTGCTGGTAAAGTCTGTAAGATCACTTTTCTTTCCCTTTTCTCTGAGTAAGTCTCTCTCCTTTTTCACCTCTTCCTCTTTTCTTCTAAAAACCTTCTCTTTCTCAAAGCGCTCTTTCTGCCTCCGACGCTCCTCTTCTTGGCGCCTCAGTTTCTCCCTTTGTGCTCTCTCATATTCTCTGTCTCTTTCATAATCTCTATCTCGGTCCCTGTAGTCCTTTACACACTCATCTTCTGATCTGTATGAAAACAAAACTGAAAATTAAGCTCAAAAGATTCATCAGAGCTGGGAGATCAATGTAATACTGGTGTAAGTTTGCAATATGAAGACGACACACTGGTAGGTTCTAGGGAGCTTTTGGGAAGCTGCATTAACTCAAGTCATGCATGAGAACCTAAGATGATGCTGACCTCTGGCACTTCCTAGGCTCCTACTCACACAGCTGGCCAAGTCTCCTCTGGCTCTGGAAAGCACCTGGATTTCTCTGTCTTATCTCTGTTTTTCACATGGCAGAACTGAAACTTGACCAGATCACAGAGCTGTTAAGAATTACACCTTCCACTTTGACATTTTACAAGACTTAAAGGGACTAATAACTGTAGCACATCTCTCCTCTTGCACAGCTCTAATTCTCCAATCGCAAAGACAGTGCTCACAGCCTGCTGCAGGTCACCCACACCTGGGCTTCTTTTGCAGAGTTCCAAAACATCAAAATTTGTCCACTAGTGAAGAACTAGTCAGGTAATTCACACAGCTTTCTGCAACCAGGGGTATATGTACTGTCACAAAGAACATATCCTGTGCCTTCTATCAGAAAACTAATTGCAGAGGAATTACAAAACAGTCATGGCAGAGCAGCCTAAGCCTCAGTACGTTCAGGAAACAAGTTACATATACATATATATATTTATAGCAAGTACTAGAATACTTTTTTGCCTTCTCTTCTTTTGTCTCCCCATCAGATCGTTTGGCAGATGCACTACTCGCAATTTTTTCCTCCCTCAGAGTCTCTTTTTCCAGTTTCTTGGATTTTTCTTTTCTCTCCAAGTCTTTTTCATCTTTTTCAGGCTTCTTAAGCAGCTACAAAGAAAACAGAAGTCTCAACTAAAAAGCTCACTTTCATAGGTATTGTCTGGCACAACACCAAAATTGCAAAGGAACCACAGTCCAGTAAGAAACAAACATTAAAGTAATACTACTGCAAATTGCAGTATTTCTAAAAGCTGGAGTGTATGAGTAAGCATTATCCACAGAGCAGACTAGTATTTTTCTCCTAAAACAGGCCAGTTTAGAAAGCTTAAAAAGTCTCCATTCCATAGTGAATTCACAGTTTTGTTCACCATAGCATGTACAACAGTCACATGACAAAAGCTTTAAATATTACTATGAAGCATTACAGCATGTAAAACTTTACAATGCCTAATATTGAATATTACAAAAAAGTAGTAATCTACTAACACCAAACCCATGTGATTCTTCTCACAATACTCAAAGCACATTCTGAGAGACTGATATACAAATAATAGGGGAAAGGGAGTGTAACAGTTTATAATAAAGAACTGTTCTAGACCTTAATCTTTGGTTCTTCTTTTGATCTGTCTCTTTCTTTTTCTGGGCATCTGTCTACCTTCTTCAGTTTTTCTGCTTCTTTCCTCTTCCTTCTCTCCTCCTCTTTCCATTTTCTTCTTTCTTCTTCTCTTTGTCTTTTTCTTTCCAGTTCTCTCCTCCTCCTCTCCTCTCTTTTTTCTTCTCTCAGTCTCTGTGTGTGTAAAACCAAAGAGAAACAGTGTCTTTCCAGATCTAGAAAAGATCCCTTTAAGCCTAAAAAGATACTGTGCCACAGTGATAAAGTAACTCACCTCAAACCCCCCCCCCATTGTAAAAGAAAAACAGTCCTGTTGTCCCTATTATTCTGTTGTGAACCTGAACATGTTACAGCAGCATTTCATTTTTTTCCCCCCTCTTTCATGACCCTTACCTTGTACTATCTTAAAAAAATCAACCAACACAGACAATAGTAACCTCAGCCTTTATAATTCTATTTTTAATGAAATCTGCCCTGTTATTTCCTCCATTGCTAAAAGTTAAAATGTTATTATGTGCTGGGAGAAAGACGCTCTACAAAGACCTGAGTCAGAACAGCACTGAAAATGAATCTAGTTTGACAGTACATCTGGTTCACAAGCAACATTTAGCTGTGACCAGAACACACATAAAGCACCACCATTCCTCCAAAGTTCTGGTAGTTTAAAGTATGTGAACCAGATGTTAACAAGTTGGGTCAAAAGCTTTTCTTCAAGAGGGCAGAAACATATCAACATACGTGCTACAATATACACACCCATGCTTTAAATGAGCCAATTGGACTTTCAAGAAATAAGAAGAGTCTGGAGATAAGTCTTACCTGTTTATTTTTCAAGAAGTTCAATAATGGAGTAGTCTTTTTAGCTAGAGAATATATAAAACAAATGTAAACAATCTGCCTTATTCAATACTGCAACAAAACCCTACGTGAAATGAAAAAGCTTTATGGATTTTCCAGCCTGTCTCCTCTCACATAAGCAATACAGCAGTAAAACAAGTCTTCCAATCCTACCCCTGAACAGCGGCAACTATTAGGATTCTATAACCTTCTTTAGTGATACACAGTATACCTCTCTGTAATGGGACATTCAGTCTGCATTAGGCTTTTCCCAGATTCTCTCATTTTGAAAGAGCATTCTGGTCATTTTTGTGATATTTTACCCAACCACAGAATCTCTTAACTTCTGCATGCATGGAACATCACTGCATCTCACTGAAATGCAGCCACTCCACAGCCTAGTTCAGCTAGCAGATGTGACTAACATCTTAAAACAAGCACAGACATTATCATATAAAACTTAAATCTAGAAAAGAATTTAGACTATGGGAGCAAAACAAAGTACACTGAGTAGTATTAGCCTAAAGGTTTAATAAATACGTAACAAGCACACATAAGAATTCAGTCTCCTGAAGGGTGAAAAGAAAAAATAAAAATCACAGCTTCAAATTACACCACATACATTCCTTTGTGCTCTAGGAAAATGTTGCTGTAGTACATAGATTTCCATACCTATGAGCTCTTTGTTTCTTGCCTCTATTTCCTCCAACAAAGTTTCTGGAGTGGAAGTTAATTTTTCATCATCTGCACTGTAACTTTCCAGAAACTTCTTGTACTCTGGATCTACAGGGGAGGGAAGAAAAAGGAAAAAAGAAACCGTAGCATGAAATGAATTTTCCTTGTGCACTGCTGGAATTCTGGGTTAATCTGCATAAGCTGTGGTGTTTATGTCACCTGTTCATAAACTGGCAGCTCTCAAATGAGCTGCTGTGTTATGTTTGTCTGGAACAATCATATTTAATAGACTTGCAGCTGCCCAAGCAGTGCTAATAAGCTATAATCAAGCAAATATTCTGTCAATAAACTACAGTGTCACAGTAAAAAATTTTGTTCTGGTTTCAGTTGGGATAAAGTTAATTTTATCCCTAGTAGCTGCTGCAGAGTTGTGTTTTGGCTTTAGTCTGAGAGTAATGTGGATAATACAGTTGTTGCTAGCAGTGCTTACCCCGATACGGGACTTTTCAGTCTCATACGCTGTCAGTGAGGAGGGACACAAGAAGTGAGAAGGGAGCAGAGACAGAACACATAACCTGAACTAGCCAAAGGGGTATTTCCTTATCACAGCATGTCATGCCCAGTATATAAACTGGAGGAGTTGTCTGGGAGGCACTGATCACTGCTTGGGCTGGTCTAAGTGTTGGTCAGTGGGTGATGAGCAATTGTATTGTGTTTCTTTGGGGTTTTATTCCTTTCTTTCTGTTGTCTCCCTTTCCATTACAATCATAATTTACTTATTACAATAATTAAACTGTTCTTATCTCAACCCATGGGTTTTAGCTTTTTCTGATTCTCCTTCCCATCCCACTGGGATGAGGGGCAGGGGGAGTGAGCATCTGTGTGGTGCTGAGTTGATAGCTGGTGTCAAACCACAACACAGAATATTCAAATTACTGCTAAGGATTTCAAGTGCACACATGCAAAACAAACTAGCGAGCAGTTATACCATCTTCAATAGTTCCAGTTTTCGCATCCTTTTTCTTACTCTTCTTTTTTGCAGCTTTTTGGAAAGGTGCAAACTCAACTATGGCAGCATATTCCTGACCTGTTAAGAGCACAGGGAAAAATGCATTAAAATAGAGATGAACCAGATACAGAGTATATTATCCATGTCTACAGCAGGAAGATAAGTCTCACAAGAAATATTCAATACTAGAAGAGACTACTTGGAGAGCATTAAAAAAGTCTGGTATTGTGAAAGCCATTTAATGAAAAAGCATTTTAGAGACAGCAGAATTCATGAATTAAACACTCTCACAACATCGACAAAAAGGCAAAGTAACACACTCACAAGATGGAAATGCTACATTTAAGACTGCCCACAACGGTCAGTTCAGCCACCTCAGCTATACCACACCACACAATATCCTCATCCTACAGGCTCTGCTATCATTGTGCAAGTGCAAGATAATGTTTTAAGTTAATGTAACTGGGGCAAATCTCAATTTTTGGCAAAAGACAATACAGTGCAACACATTACAGTCATACTTCTAAAGTTTCATCTTTTGACTAGAATGCCACATTTATGGCTGCATAAATCAAATGTTGCCGCTGGGTATGGCAAATACAGCATCCTGTTACACTGCAAACCAGGCTATTTAAAAGAGGCTATTTTATTAGAACCTTGTCATGCAACCATTCTAAATGTGGGAGGGTCTTGTGGACAGAGCTTTATGTCACATAAAGCAGCTGGCTGGATGAAAAGTAAACCACAAAGTTCAAGGTGAAATCCTCAGCCTAATAGAGCCAACAGGAAGACTCTTGGTAAAGTTTTTGCTAAATCTGTAAATTTAAGGGCTTTCAATGACAGATTAAGATGTTTTAGCGCTATGCAATGTAAGTAGGTTTGAAATGCAAAATTTAAAGACATGAGATTTACTGAATACCTAACATGCATTCAGAAAAAGCAGTAAGTGGTGACACAAATACTTGGATGTTTAACCAATAAATTAAACAACATATTAACTACAGATGTAGGTCTCCAGAAACCACTTGCTTTTACAACTTCAGGCTGCAAGAAACAAGCCACTCCTTTTACTGAATCAAGATGATCTACTCAGGTGTAAACTAGATCAAGCAATAACACAGATTAAAAACTGACCAAAAATAAGCCGTTAGAAGTGTACAGAACAGACAAAGGGAGCAGTGGAGCATGGCACCATTAATCTCAGCTTCGTTTAGCTTGGACAGCACCACCACCCACCCATTTTAACTTCTTAGGCTTCCCCCTCAGGTATGACAATGCAAGCATTAACCTTAGGAATGCAACAACTGGGTTTATCTTGATACCGTTACCATCTTGACATACACTTTACTGGGGTTTACACATAACACTATAAGATCGATTTAGAAATATAGAAGAATGTCTTAAATTAGCTTTCACAAAGCATAAGACCTTGTTCTCTGAAATACTGCAGAGCACTCATTTAAGGCACTAAATCCAAACAAACCTCAAGTGGCACACTGGGCTGCTTACATTCATCCCTCTACAATACAGCTCACACGCTGCACACACCAGGAGAGACGCACACAGCCGAGCGCTGCTCACTTGCCTTTGTGGTCGACAAAAACATAGCCGTCAAAGCGATCCCTGAAGAGGACTATGTCTTCCTGGTTTTTGAAGTTGATGTAGGCTCTCGAGAACATGTGAGGGTACAAGCTGCACAAAGACAAGACCCACACAGCCAGGCTCACTGGGCGGCCCGGCTGACGGCAGCAGCAGCTCTGGGGAGCCGCCCCGGGGAAGGGGCCGGCGGCCGTACCTGGAGTCGTTGGCGAAGAACTCGAAGTAGTCATGCTCGGGCAGGGGCTGGAGATGCTCCTCCAGCTGCTCCTTCGTCAGGCTGGGCGGCAGCCGCCGGATCACCACCTGCGGCACGGACACATGGGTTGGGGCGGCCCGCAGCGCTCGCTGCCGCCAACCACCCCTCACACCCCTTCCCGGCGAGGACCCAGCTCCCCCCGCCCCACAAAGGCCGCCTCCAGCGGCACCGAGCGAGGCCCGTTACAGCGGGACTGGGGGGATCGCACCGCGCAGGCCCCACCTTGCTGAGCGTCTCCTTCTTGTCCTTGGGCCGCTCGAGGCGGTCGAGCTCAGCAGTGCCGGTCCTGCTGTCCCCAGCGGCGGCGGTGCCCGTGCCCGACCCCGCCCCCAGCAGAGTCCCCAGCCCGGTGGCGGCCCCGCGCCGCTCCTTGGGCCTCGCGTTCTCCTTGTCCTCCTTCATCCCAGGCCACCGCTTCTCCCGCGACTGCGCCTTAAAGGGCCACGAACCGCACCCTCGGCCAAGGCCGCCCCGCCGCGGCCCCGCCGCACTACGGCTCCCGGCGTGCCCCGCGCGGTCCCGCCGCACTACGCCTCCCGGCGTGTCTGCGTAGTGACGGCGGCGCGGGGGAAGCTGGGAGTGCTCGCAGGGAGGCCGGTCGGCGGTGCTGGTGCGGGGAACCGCAACAGGGCAGCGGCGGGATGTGGTACGAGATCCTGCCCGGCATGGCCATCATGGGCGTCTGCCTTGCCATCCCCGGCCTCTCTACCATCTTCATGCAGCGCTGGAGTAACGGCGGCAAGGTCAGCGTGGGGGGAGGACACTGGGCCGTCTTCCCTCCCCTTTCCCCTGCGGCCCCGCCCGTGGGTCGAGATACTGGGGCTGCGCTTCCGCCGGGGCTTCCTTCCCCACACCTTTTCCTCTTGGGTTCTCTTCCTTTCCTGGGCTCCTTCCCTTGAAATTCCCTGGGAGCCTCTCTCCCGGGGCCGTACCGGCAGCGCAGTTCTCGCCTGCAGGAGAAGAGGATCGCCCGTTATACCTACCAGTGGACGCTGATGGAGAGAGACAGGCGGGTGTCGGGGGTCAACAAGTACTACGTGTCCAAGGCAGGTGCTGGGAGCGGTGGGCAGGCAGCAGTGGGAGGGGAGCAGAAGCCCTGTGCTGGGCTCTGAGCTGGACACTAGTTGCTCAAGGCTATGGGTTAGGGTTAACCCTAACCCTGCCGGGGGCATCTGCGTTTTCTTACTTGTGTTCTTAGCTATTTTTTTTACAAAACCTGCATTTTCAGCTATGCTCTTCTGCAAGTTAGGAATAATAAAGGTGCACATATAGATGATACCGTTTCTTTTTCAGGGTCTGGAGAACATAGACTAAGGTGATGGATCTTCTGAAGAATCCACTTACCTATATAAAATCATTTAACTCTAATAAAGACATATGTATGCAAACCTTGTATCTGTTGTGTGTTGACCCCACCTGGGTGCCAGATGCCACCAAAGCTGCTTCATCAGTCCACTCCTCAGCAGGACAGAGGAGAGAATATATAAGAATGGATGGGTACAGCAGGACAGAACAGAGTGTAAACAGGAAGAAGCCAGGTGGGCTGGACTTGCTGTCTGCACACACTTGCAGAACTCCAGGCCAAACATTACAGGACTTTTATTTTCTTTATACAAACATAGAGGACATCTCTCTGCTGCCAGAAGTACAACACAGAGATTTAGGTGAACAAAACAACCATCTAGAAAACACTTTGGTTTTAAAAGCATCTGAGAAAAAGGTGGCTCAGGGGGTATATTTGGAAATATGCAGTTGAATCACAGAAGCACTATCCAGAGTAAGCCTCCAAGTACAGTTTAAAGAAATGCATATAATACTGCTAAACCAGACCAAATTAAAATAGCAGAGAAATTAAAATAGGATTTTACTGTAGACACTTCCATGAATAAAGGAATTTCGAATAAATTGAAAGATGCATCCTTGTTACCACCTTTGTACATGCAGGGGTTCCAATCACTGCACCTACTGCTCCCGATACCTATGTATGACATAGGAGAAAAAGAAGCAAGCAACTTAGTTATTCACCACAGGCCTCCATGGATATGTAATACACCCCAAACACCAAGCTGCAGTCCACCAAGTTGCAATGTGCTTGCTTTAAAGTAACTGAAGCCCATCTGTATTAAATTACAAACTCATTTCTATTTACAGGTCTAGTTTGAGCCACAAACTAAACAAAACTGTGTTGAGGAAAAAAACCACAAAACCAGATCTAGATCAAGTGGAGAGACTTGGATCTTAAACAGGAACTTAGAATTCCTTCATTTTTTGCTACTGTTTCCAGTAGCTTGTTAAAGGTCTTTTGCAACCTGAATTATTCTATGATTAATCAATACAAATGGAAAATCTCACTTATCAGCATTAGGTAACAAAGCCCTCCCATGGAATCCTTCTGCTTGTCTGATTCAAAGTGAGCTCAGAATATTGCACCTTTCATCTTCCCTGCCTTCCCTGCCTTTTGTAGCCTTTCATTTTACAGGCATTCCTTGTGAACGGAGAGCAAACCATCCAAGAAAATCTGACAAAAGCAGCTCTTTCCTTGATCCAAGGAATCCACTCCTGAGGCTTGACCCTGCTGGGTGAAAAGCACTGCAGCACTGGAAGGTTTTTTGTCAAGTCACAACTGGAACAGGTCAGCTGCTGCCTGGTAGAACCTGTGGTGTCCAGTCCAAATGAAGAATTATTTTTCCTCTTTGCCTTTAGTCTTTCTGTAGACCATCTCTCGGAAGCTTGCCAGGATCTTATTCTCTCGTTTTCTCCTCTCCTCCTGGTTGAAGGATGCCAGAGCTCTCTTCTCATCTGCACTGTATATCTGGTTCTCTTTACGCAGACGCACAGCTTCCATTCGGCGATGTCTGCAGAGGAGAACATTCAGCATGAACAGAGGGAAGTAATGCCCCATCACAGTTTACATCCCTCAACTGGGCTGAATGATTTGAGTGGCTTATAAAGATACCTACACTAGAGCATCCAAACTGCACACAAACTTTCCCATGAAGGAGCATGACAGAGCAAGAAACTGACTTCTGGTGGTGGTTGCTCTCAGGCAGTCAGCCAGAAAGCCCAACCTACCCCAAGGGTGTCAGCTGCTGCCTTATCAAAATTTAAGGGAAATTCCTATTGGACTCAGAGAGAAAAAAGCATAGCCAACCTCTCACCCTTGGATTATTCTCTTACTGAGGAGCCAGTGCGTCACCACTGCTGTCCAAACACACCACCTTTGAGCCACCTGACACTAGCATCTCCTCATTTGAAAACTAAGATAATTACAAGTGTACTTACCTAGAAAATGTAATTATCTGTAATTAGCTAGAAAGAATTTTTGCTCTTGAGGATGAAGTGTTCTTCCAAACCCAAATTGGATAGATATATCATCTATCTATAGCAAGAGCGAGTTTAGTGTGGATTACTGCAAGCACACAGAGCACCTTCTCTTCCATGCTTTCAACCTGAGCTTGGAAGCAGTCTTCTAAGCAGCTAGCAGCAGAAGCAGCTCTTTAAAATATCACTGAACCATTATCACCATCAAAACAATACCTGCTGCCACTCATGACATAACCAGAGCTCTCAAATGATGCAATCTCTTCACTGGTCAAGCCAATTTCACCTCTCCGGGGTATACGTTTTCCTGCTTTTACGTATTCTGCCATTGCTGCACCTTCACCAGGCAAGAGGGCATGTCCATAGCTTAAAAAAAAAGTAAGTGCTGATTTCAGTCTCTAATAGAGAGAGAAGGAGTTAAACATCCAGCTTCTTTCCCATTAACTGGCCTGTTTTTCCTTATGGCTAACACAAGCAAGAAATTCTTAAACTAATACTTTCTGATTAAATGGTAATGAAGACACTGTAAACTCACAATACTGCAGAGCATTAGCATAAAGGCATCTTAAAATTGATTTCCTGGGAATCAAGGCTAAAAAGCATAAACCAGATTCTTCTACCTGGATTTAGGCCAGCATAAAGGCTCACACCACTGCTACTTGTGCCTGTGAGTTTCTGGCACTGCGTTTCTCTCTGATGCATACCAGGCTCTTAGAACAGCCCTTTTGAAGAGTAACCTTCAGGCTTCATTCAGTCAATTTGATCAAAATACTGTTAAGAGCTGGCTACTCACTTCAAAGGCCTGTCATCCTGAGATGCATGAGTTTTGGGAGCTTCTGGTCCAATCAAGCTATCAGCTTCCATATTTTCTGTAACAATCAAATAATGAGGAAGATTAATACTATGCCTTTTGGTTTTTGTTATCAGAACAGTTACACAGATCAGCAACACCTAACAAAAGTCAAAAGGAAACTAACAAGTTTTGATGCAAGTTTAAAGCCAGGTGAACCTACTTGATCTCTCAATCCAGAGATCTTCCCCTTGAAACATTTCTTCATCAGAATCTTCACTACTCGAATCACTGGATTCCTTCCTACTCTTCTTATTTTTCTTTTTCTTGTACTTCTTCCTGTGATAAAGTCAAAGACAGACATGTTATTTCCCAAAATCTAAGATGAAATAAAGTGCTTGGAACCATATTCAAGTCACCGGTTTCTCAATGCAAGTTTGGGGGGAAGACCTGGCTTGTCTGCATGCAGACTGTTGTCTCATAGAAGAAAATGCCTTACAGCAAAACAAAGACAACATATACACTGTTACACCTGCCATATAGTGTTAGAAAGTTGCTCCCTATGATTGCAGTGAGTCCTCTGCTGTGTGGTTCTGCAGATTTAAAGAAAATCCATCAAATTAAGGTTACTCAAGAGCATTTACAGCCCTAACAAGAATGCTCACTTAGCTTTCCTCACTACCTGCTGGCGCTGCCCTCTGGCCAAAAGTGGGTAGAATTACATACAACCACCTGGAAACTTACTTTCTGTTTTTCTTTTTCTTCTTCCTGCTTTTCTTTCTATCTTCATCTGAAAAAATGAAAGTATGTATATTATCAAAAAGAGATGATTAGCTATAACTAAGTAGTTTACTGCACTGTGAATAACTACCTCCACCAGAATGCCTTAGTACACAGCTGCTCGGACATGATTTGCTTAGGTAGCAAGCAATACTGCAAAAGTACAGAGCTACCTGCAATATTGTTTGCTATGAGAACATATCAAATGTATTTCTGGCATGGGGTGCCCAATGGGTGCTAAATTTTACAAGGGCAGGTAGTGCCAGGGGGAATGGCTTTAAACTGACAGAGGGGAGCCTTAGATTAGAAACTGGGAAGATATTCTTCATTATGAGAGTGGTGAGGCCCTGGCAGAGGTTGCCCAGAGAAGCTGTGGCTGCTCCATCCCTGGCAGTGTTCAAGGCCAGGTTGGACGGGGCTTGGAGCAACCTGCTCTAGTGGAAGATGTCCCTGTCCATGGCAGGGAGGTAGAACTAGATGATCCTTAAGATCCCTTCTAACCCAAACCATTCTAGGAAATTCAGAAATCCTATTTCCTAAAGCCAGACCACAAGCACTCAAGGAAAATGCACTGCAAACCCAGCAAGAAGATGAAAGAGAAGAACACCAGATTGGTGCTGCAGCTCTGTAATTTCAGAACATTTTAAGTGTGCAACAAAAGCCAGAAGTGTCACTTTGCGTTCAGAGGAGCAGGAGAAGAGCTCTCACATCACACGTGTTAGCTGAAACCCTCTCTTACCACTGGAGTCCTCAGACTCCGATTCGCTGTCGCTGTCCTCAGAATGTTTTCTGCGTTTTCTTTTGGATCCCTTCCGCTTTTTCTTCTTCCTTTTCTTCTTCTTTTTCTTTTTTTCCTCTAGAAGGTTTTTAAAAGGTAACCTTAATAATTAGGGAGTAGACAAAGTTCATCTAGCTCCATACACATCTCAATCTTCCCAACGCAACACTCTCCTTCAAACTGGAGCTCACCACACACACTTCTACCTATCCAAGCTGGTGAACCTCTTGCAAGCAAGAGATTCTAGACTTCATCAGCTTCTCATTTTCAAAACAAGCTGTGTAAGCAAAACAAAATACCTTCTGAACTGGAATCTGAAGAACTACTCTTAGATTTTGCCTCTTCGTCTTCTACCGGTGTATGCTCATCAGAACTGAATGAAAATAAGAAGTTGGCTATTTACAGACTGTTGTGCAGTATTCAAGACCAAATGTACACGTGGCCAAACACACAGTTGCAGATTTTGAGTCAGTGCTGGCAATAGAGCAAGCAAACAGCTGATTTACAGCATGGGAATTGGTTTCAGAACCACAACACAAAGGTTGTCTGACCTACAATAAATAATGTCTTGCAAAACTGGTAGTTGGAATTAACTGGGGAATTATTTCTGGGAAAATAGGGGAAGCTGGGGAAGGGGAAGTAGTAATTTCATTATAGTTCAGAAATGAAGTGACACATATGAACTAAAAGGGACTAGTAGTGGGATAAGACATTTTTGTAAACTGAACTAACATATAATCAATATCATAAAAAACAGAGGAAAAGAAGAACGAATATGTCTTACTCAGGGTCAGGAACCTTTGGTGACAGCCCCCAGACTTCAGGTGCCCCCAGTTCTCCGATCCTCTCTCTTTCATTGAGTCTCCTGCAATGGAGAACACCTTCACTGACCAAGATCAGACGAGATCGGGCATTTTCAGGGTGGTAAAAGCCTACAGCACCCAGGATTCCCAGGTGGTCTCCCATCCAAGCACTAACCAGGCCCGACCCTTCAAAAGCCCAGCTATTCTAGAAAACTTCTAAAGCTTTCAATGTCATCTCAGAACTGAGAAAGAATAGAGAACAGAGCTAATGAAACTCTAGAGATTTTTTCATGTGAGGTTGTCATTAAAATGCCAGAAAACTAATCAAAAAGGACTGGGACGCGGATGGTACCCTTGTGGTGCGTTGGCTGGGAATCGAACCCAGGTCAACTGCTTGGAACGTAGCTATGGAAGTGCCACACCCAACGTCAACGCTTTAAGCCTGATGTTCTGTTGCCGTTTCTGATCACCTAAAGCGCATACAAGGCACACTCAAGGACCGCCGCAAAGACAGGCCGCGAAGGGACCGTACACAAACGGGAGGAGGCTCGGGCGCGGCGCTCACCTCTGCCGCAGGATCTCCTCCTTCTCCTTCTCATAGTACTCGGGCCAGGCCTTGCCGTGGTAGTGGCCGTGGTGCGCGGCAGCGCGCGGCCCGCCGGGGGTGCGCTCGCGAGAGCGGGACCAGCTGCGGCTCCGCCGATGGTTCGGCCGCTTCAGCCCGTTGCGCTCGCGGGAGCGGGAGCGCGACCGACGGCCGCGGCGCTCGGGGCTGGCGGCGGGAGGGCTGCGGGACCGCGACGCCGGCGCCATGGCGGCCGCGGCGAATGACACACTTCCGGGTGGCGCGCGACTTCCGGCTCCCTCCCGGTTGGGCGAGGCGGAAGTGGGACAGCTCCGCGGCGCTCCCGGTGGCGGCTCGCTTTGTGCCGCGGGGCCGCCCGACAGCATGGACGTGCGGGAAGCGGCTGCGCCAGGTATGGCGGAGCGGGCGGCGGGGTGGGGGTAGCGGCGGTGCAGGCCGGGAGCTGTCCAGGGCTGCCCGGGAGCAGTACTGCCCGGCGGACAGCTCACGGCCCCGCCGCCGAGGGCAAGATGGGGACTCCCCGGAACCCGCAGGGCTGTGGGCGCCGGGGCTTCCCCTTTCCCCGGGCCCCAGCGCCGCCCGGAGCCTTCACTGCCGGTGTTTAAAGATTTATCGACAGGGCACTGCCCAGACCGGCCCGTCGCGGCTGTGGCAGCCGGTGGCAGCATGTGAGGAGCGCCCGGAACAGCCGCGGTTTTGGGAGAAAATGGTACAAATCAGGAGTTCCGGGAGGCCGGTCTCTGTCCCGCCTCTGTGCGCGCCCTTCCCCGCAGGTGCCAGGTTTGAGCACCTTCCGGCGGTGCTCTGTGGGAAAAACAAGTTGCTCCTGCTCTGCCTTGGAACGCGGCGTTACGCTGGTGGGCTCCTGCGGGGAATAGGCACATAACGATATTACCAGAGGTTTGTGTATGTGTTCGGTGCTACTGTACCCTGTGTCTGGCTGAGGACGGCCTGGTATCTCTGTTTTGAGTATCAGTGACTACGGCTTGTCCAGTTAAACTAGACAAGGCTGTCTTCTAAAAGGCTGTTGTTTTGATCGGCAGTCGGGTCATTTGAATGAGACAGCCAGAAGCCCGCAGTGGCTGAATCCATACAGCATGAATTAAGGCACAGTGACTTTATCTCCCTGAGCTTCCAGCCTTAGGAAGAACTTGCAACCCAGAGTGATCCTAAGACTGCTGTCCATAGCCATGCTCTCCTCACAGGCTGCCCAAGCTTATTTACCCATGCGGTGTGATGAGATGTCCCCAGGAGGAAGTCCGAGTCACTATGTGCTCCCAGCACTGGTTACAGGAGGTCATGGCCCCGACTCATGAGAGGGATAGAAGCTGCTGAACCAGACATGTAATGTGGGGATCTGTCTGTGTGGCAGGTAAATGCACCCTGAGGCCTTTGAGGCATGTAGCCCTTCTTGCTTTTCCCCTGGGATTTCCCACAGCCAGGACTTGGAGCAGAAAAGGGGTGGAAGACCCTGAAACGTGGCTGGTGGCAGCGTGCTGTGTGCTGGAGCCTGGGTTTGGGGGCTGAGAGGAGAGCGGTGTGGGGGGGTCAGGGGTACTGGGCACTGCAGTGCTCATCACAGGTGGATACAGCAGCTTGGGCAGCGCCTGTGGTCCGGCCCTGCACGTTGGCACCCAGGGCCTGCCTTGGCAAGACAGTGACTGAAACATCTCAGGAGCACTCTGCACCTGTGTTACTTCATGTGATGCGCAGAATAAGACTCCACAACTCGCCAAAGTTGTAAAGTAGGTATGCCTTTATTCAGCTGAGGCGCATGGGGGACTAATCCTCCAAAAGCATGAGCACCTCAGTGTCGTTTTCCTCTACATTTATCCTCTAAAGTACTACATATGCATTAGGTTACACAATACACCTATATATATTTATGTCCTTTCCCCGCTTCGTATTATAATGAGCTCAAAGGTCCTTCGCACATGCACAGTGTCTCCTGGTGGTCGTGGGCAGGGGTCTTCAGATGAAGTAAACAAGCCTTCCTCGGGCCTGAACTTTTCACCCTTGGTCCTCACACATGCTCTTTAGGAGCCTGGATGAGTCTGGTCTATGTCCAAATGGTTTTTGCTGAAACTTAAATAACTGTTTTCCTTATTAGGAGGTTATGTTCTGGTACTGCATGGTAAAGCACGATAGGTATTTGCTGAGCGATATATCTGTTAAGCAAGCTATGTAACTTAAGCAGTACCCCCTTGTACAACCCCCCTGTACAATTTACCTAACCCCCTTGTACAATAGTCCAAAGCAATACCCCCTGGTACAACCTCCCTGTACAATAGTCCACATCATTTGTAGGGTAGTGATTAGAAGTATTTTTATACATAGGCTGTACAATGCACATATATACAGTATGTAACTACAGCATCTACAAGTACTGATATCAATAAAAAGTATCACTGGACTTTAAATTCAGTTATATGAGGTTTTATAGATAATGGGACTGACAGGAAAAATACTCTGAAAATTCTTTGGTACATGAATGGTAGAAATTAATATTTTGATTGTCCTTTCAGAAGCAGGGGTATTTTATTTGAAATTCCACAGTGGAATGGTATTTCTGTCCCTAAAAATAGTCGTACTTTAATTTTGATTTCACTGCAGGCTGTAAGGGGAAATTCACCGTTCTGTTTACCAAGTTTAATTTATTTCAGTGTAAAATACATTTCTCATGGCAGAAGATGCTGCTTTTTCTCAGAGTTGTCTTTAAAAGAATCTGTTCCCACAAGCTGCATTTTTAAAAGTGAGATCTTCAAATTACTCAAAAGTTGTCCCTGTGTTGCAATGGGGGTTTTGTCTTCTCACAGAAACCTACACCTGATGCTGTGAGTCTTTAAAGTTGTGCTGTGTATTTTCAGAGCCTCCCTCCCAGAGGATCACTTCTATGCATCAAAATAGAAGTTGCTACTCTGTCTCAATTTTCTCAATTCCAAGGACATTACCCAGGTGCTAGACATTTCTTGTCAGTATCTTAGATAAAATGGTTCAATTTGTCACTATCTTTTAATTTGTTATGCGAGTCAGCTCACCAAACACTTCCTAGCCTTACATAAAAATAAAAGGGAAAAAAACCCCAAACCAACCCAAAACTAAGAGGTGCATGGTAGACAAAAAAATACTTGCATTGACATTGTGTGTTCAGGCGCAGTGGGACTGAGTGGCAGCTTCACTAAAGCGTTAGCTCTGTGCTGTCTGTGACAAGGTGAATATAGAATCATAGAATCAGTCATGTTGGAAAAGACCTTTAAGATCATAAAATCCAACTATTCCCCAGCAGTGACAAGGCCATCACAAACCCGTGTGACTGAGGGCCTCATCTACACGGTTTTTGAACATTAAGAATTAAATAAATGTTACTCTCATTTAATATAACCCCCTGTGTAAAGATGTCTGAGAACCTATATCAAAGGAGAAGAACTGAGTTGAGGGGTTGCATGAGGAAGGAAAGCCAATCTTTTCCTCAATTACTATTTTCTATTATTTATTCTTTTCTACTCAACTCTCTAGAAAACCTGTAAATAAGGAGAAAACAGCTTTGTAACATTTCAGATCTGAAGGCTGGCTTCAAAAAGGCACTTTTGCTACTAGCTATACAATACAGGGAGCATGGCAGGTGATTTTCTTGCTGGCAGGGTGCATAAAGCCAGGCAGGACCATTTTGTTGCTGATACGTGCAGTGAGGGATTGCAGTCATTTGTGGCCTGTTAGTGTTTCTGGTTGAACTTGATAGGAGGACAGTTGTTCTTGGCAAGGGTTTTGAATCATGAGAAAAATCACAAACCCCTGTGGTTCAAGTTGTAAAATCCATAGGGAAAAAAGAAAAGAACAGATCAGTAACTGAAGGTGAAAAATATCTTGTATGTTCTTGGTGCTCTTTGAGTGTTCAGGAACAGTGACAGTTCTGAGAGCCCACATTGTGGATACGTCACTTTGATGACTGTTGATGTGCCGAGAGCTGCATTTTGTCAAGGGACTGCACAGTGGAGTTTGATCGGTGCCACCATGGTGCACAGAATACAGAACGGATGCTCCTGCAGCATGAGCCTGGGTGCTCTGGTTTGGGTTACATTGTCAGGCCAGGGTGCCAGCTGCACCAGTGGTTGGCAGAGTAGTGCCAGCCTGGTTCCCTCCCCCGGGAAGGAACTGAGCCGCAGTGGTAAATAACCTGTGGCCAGCACAGCTCCACAGCCTTATCCAACATGGCCAGAGGTAAGGCAGGTGTTGGGGGGGCTACTTCAGGCCTCCCCTGGAGCGAGGGGAGTGCTGGGAGCCAGGCAAGGATTGTCAAGGCCGAAGTGAGGCCCGCGTGTTCGGCCCTCGGCTGCTCAAGGCCTCCTGCAGAGCAGCGCCGGGGGCTGGCGGGGCGGGAGCCTTCCAGGGGTCTTGGGGCCTGTAACCGGCCCTCGACACCAAGGGGTTGAGAGAAGCAGCGGGGCCGGAGGCTCCTGCGAGCCACCGCCCACCTGAGCCCGCCCGCTGGGCTGGAGGCCGAGCGGGGGAAGCCGCCCCCAGCAGGGGCACGGCACGCCCGGGCAGCCCGGCAGGAGACACTGCTGGCGGCGGTACAGCCCCGCCCCGCCCCGCCCTCTGGTCCCGAGCGCGCTCGAAGGCTTCCGAGGCCGCTCGGGTCAGGGCGCACCGGGGCGTGACGAGCGCGCTCGGGCGGAGCACGGCGGCCCGCGGGGGAGGGCAGAGCTGCAGCGCTCCCTGGCGGCAGCGCAGCGGGGCTGTGGCAGAGCACCAGCGGCGGCCGCGGCTGTTGTGCGCGGCAGGAGCTGGCGGCCGCAGCGCAGGTAACGTGGATCCTCGTCTTCCTCCTGCGCGCCGCCGTGCCGCCCTGCTCTCCCCCTCCCCGCCGCCGGAACGGGCGGCCCCTCCGCTCGCCTTGCCCGGAGCAGGAAGCGGCGGCGGCGGGCACGGCCTGTCCGAACGGAGGCGGCGGAGGGGGCCGCCCGTCAGCTCTCGAGGCCCGCAGCCGGTAAGCGCCGCCGCCCTTGCTGCTCCCGCGGAGCCCGCGGCCGTGGCATCTCTAGCCCGAGAGGCTGGTTTGCAGGGTAAAGTTCACCGGGGGCAGCGGGGGAGCGAGGTCTGGCGCCGGCGGGGGGGGGTGGGGTGGGCTCGGCCTCCTCATTCCACCCACTTCAGGCGCACAGAAATAAAGTTTAACGAGTAAAATCAAGGACTGACAGCTTTGAACTCGCCGTTCGTGTATGTGAATGTTGTTTTGTTGCCA